ACGGTCCTCCCACCCCAGTGCATGGGCAGGACCCAATAGATGAGGGTCTACTGGTAGATGTTCACATGATGTCAAAAAATGAGCATCTGTCTCTCCGATGACTTAAAAGTTTTGCTCTGAGGAAGAAACCTGCAAACCCTGCTCAAGGCAATGCTTTCTGGTGTTCTCTTCTCTATGCACGTGGCAAACCCAGGCTCCATTTCCCAACGCAGATGAGGACGTTGAAGAGCCAGGCAGGATTGCAGCCGCACACTCCGCAGGAAGATGCACAACAGCACATTACTTTTGCTGTCTATTCTTTATTGGTAAATTCTGCCAGATAGCAGCTTTCATTACGTTGCAAATAGTTTTGGCCGCAGTTCCACTACCTCTTACGTTTACTCAGTCAGACTGTTAAAAATTAATGAAGTGGATGCACTATTGATTTCAAAAGTGCACTTTCCATCGCATCCCAACCCGAATGCCACTCCGCACTGCTGGGGAAGCCCATGGAGAGGCAATATAGTTAGCGTGTAACCCAGCCCTGTATTTTAGAGAACGAAGAAAGCCGCCTCTGCAGACACAGCATACACAAACTAAGCTTAAGAAAGCATCTTAAGAGAAGCAGAAGATTAATTATTTTTTTTTTCCCCCTTTTAACAAAATCCCTCTCTATAACTTCAAACATAAAAGGTCTCATGTTCAAGCATCCAACGCACAGGTCACCTGGGGATGGGAAGTCTCCCATTGATCCTGGTTAGGTGCCAATAATTTTTTTCTTTTTCCCTTTGTCAGCATTTTAGTTATTGCTGGCAAACAATGAAATGTTTTTTTATCAGCTACACATGTTCTACTTCCTATGTAAGCTGTGTTAATGCAGAAGACGAGGAGCCAGAGCCCCACACAGAGCAGAGCAGGGTGGGAGAGGCTGCAGGCACCTAACGGCTATGCAGAGGGGAAGGAGGAATTGATGTTATGCCAGAAGTGCCAGGAAGGATGCAAAGGTCAGACAGAACTGCAGGAGGGAAGGAGAAGTGACGAAATGAAGGGAAAAATCAAAAGAATTTCACGGACACATAAAATCATATATATATATATATAATTTTTTTTTCATACGTAAGAGAGCAAAACAGTGAGTCTAACAATGTTTTTCTGTAACCACATACCTGCTGAGGAATGATCATATCCAGACTGGATTTAACCACTACTGTTAATCATGGCCATGAAATAAAACAGTACTAAAAATTAAATCAAATATCACCATATCATACTCCACAGTAAGACCGCCCTCAGGGTGATGGGGACCCGGGGACTTCAATCCTGTAACTATGGGGCAGGGGAAAGGGGACTCCTGTACTATGGGAGAGGGATCTGCCCCGGCCACAAGTGTCACCAGGACAGATCCAGTCTTCAGTTGCTGACAACTCTTTCACTACACTGTACTTAACACCAATGCAAACAGGCAGTTGAAAAAATTAGTCCACTGAACACATACTCGCCCCCACATTAACACACAAAATCCAGAATCATTGTCACATGATAAAAGAATGATTTATTAGAGCAACTTTATGATAAAATTATATAAAATAACAATTTATTTTTTTAAAGACGTCCACAATATCACCTTGAAACAAAATGTACAGATACTGCCTATAATCCAAACAAAAATAAATTACCATTCAAAATAAAAACAAAAGCAAAAAAAAAAAAAACAGGGCAGGAGAAACAAATCAAAATTATACACAGCATTTCAAGAGGGTGTGGAAAAGAGAAAGTCATTAATTGATTCAAGTTATACAAACGTGTTTCAGCTTTACTCTCAGACAGCTCAGCTTGCATTTGTGTTGCATGCAAATGGAATGATCCAGTGAACAGTTCAGAAGAGCAGAATCAGCAGCATAACAACAGCAGAGTGAAATAGGCACAACGCAGCACGGGGCACATCGAAAGTGAACAGGTAGTTCTGTCTGGTCTTTGCAAAAGTTATACACATTTACTGAGCTTCAAAAATAGCTAGTGATCTGCAAACCAAGAAAAAACTAGTAGAATCTTGCACTTAAGTACTTTACACTTTTTTTATCTTTTTTTGTCTCCTCTTTTTCTTTTTCAGTAGGCTGTATGTAAACATTCCACTAGTTGTACCTTTACTAAAATACTCAAAGATGATGCAGACGTCCTTTTCTCCTGGAGCACGACCACGACATGACATCACCGTAGATACATTTAGGTCCTCCCTCACAAAGCTCGTACACATTCTCGCAGGAATTTACATTCACGCCATCAGAACAGAGTAACAGGTTTTTACATTTGAAAGCATCAGACTGAGAACATGGTTTTCAAGTACAGCGGAAGAGCTGAGGACTGGGATTTTGAAAGGTGCTCATGGCATCAGGCACCCAAAGCATATGGAAACCCAAAAGGATCTGAGCACTTCCTTCCTTAAGACTTCGAAAATCCCACCCTTTATTACATTTCTTTAGTCAGATACAAAACACATGAAAGCAACATGGTGCCAGAGCGACCCACAGGTCAGCGTCACCCCTACCAAGCTCAATGCAAGGCCCATCAGTAGCTCACAGAAGCTAACAGGTACCTTACGCACTGATCCCGGGTCACCCAGATACACCACTACACATCTGCTACGGTCACACTGGAGTCACACAGGGGCATGTTTTCATGGTTGCATACAGTACTGCTTGAAAGAACGAACAGTCGATGAAGGAGCAATAGGTGGCTAGCTCTTTGGCTTATCTGGAGCAGACAAGTGCAAATGGGATGTCCTTCAGAAGCAGTGAACGCAAGAAAAAACATGTTGCGTTTCATCGTTGACTAGCAAAACTGTTTTAAATGCAAAGATCCAAGGATGAACGCTGTGTCAGGACACAGAAGCATTTTATAGTTTGGCTGAGTCACAAATAAAACAAATCAAGCTGTGCATCCTCCCCACCCCTTCACACACACACACACACTTCCAAATTATAAACAGACACCGATTGTTGCATCCTTAATTAGTCACTTGAAGAGGTACCATGTTTTGCAGGTTGATTTAAGTGATATAAGGTGTCTGTGGGCGCGCCCTCAAGTTCAGAACAGAGCAACCAAGGAAGAAAATCAAATCCATCCCTGATGTGTTCATGAATGAAAGAAGAATCAAGCAATTTTCAAGTGAAAGTAAACAGAAGTCCCACCAAGGACACATTGTAGAGAAACACAATCCACTAGAGCCTAGCCATGAAGATGTGGAAACGTAGGTAACAAATAACAATAAAAGTCAGATGTCTGAGTAATTCACATATCTCTACAGCAAAACTGAAACTAACATCAACACCTTATCTGTGAAGGTCCTTCAACTCCTAGTGAGTTGGGGTAGCACCTGGTCAGTTCAAACCCTAACCAAGAAGGGCTTGAAAAATTGTGTCTCGTATGTCAGGAATGATACCACCACTTACGATATTCAGCAAGGACACAGTCAGGTATTTCAAGAAAAGACAGATCAGAATGAAGGACTGAATGAACACATTCAGATAGTGCGTATATTACAGGCAGAAGAAGATCAAGGGCAAATTATTTTTTTATTCTGCATTCATCTATGTGAAATCCAGCAGATTTCTTCACGGAAGAGCATCTCCACACAAGCAGATGAGTCTTATAGCCTACTGGAAATCTTGGAAGGATATTTGCACCTATTGTTTACCAGCCAGCATCTTGCACGCTCAAAAAAAACTAATGGCCTGTTGGCATACTCCCATTTTGGGACCGATCCTTTTTCTGCTGAAATTGCTAGGAAGCTCCCACTGGCTTTATCAAGAAAGCAATCACGGTCTTTGCCAGTAAGACTAAATACTTTGTGAGCATCCCTATTTATTTAAATTATTTTAACAGTTATTTTAACAGGTTCCCACTGTTACAACGTTCTAGCAGAAAAGCTCAGGTAACTACTGAAGCTAACTAAGGAATCCACTACCCACCCCAAAATATAAAGTCAGCACACAAGAAGCAGTCAAGCTTGGGAAACCATTTTCACTGGTTAAACTACACACTGTATGAGGGCAAAGTGGAACTCATCTGCTCACCTTCCCCAGTAAACCTATCCTCCACAGCTACAAAAGAATTTCTTTACCTGATTACTGTTTATTGACCAGGAAGAATGAAAAAGGAATAAATACAAGACAGAAAAAACTGGGAGCAAACACATCTGGAAGAGGTCCCCTCAAAAACAAAACTTTTGCTCTTAAAGCAACAGGAATTGCTTAGTGTTCTGCAGTTTAACTGAAAGACAGAATACAAAAACAACTTTTTTAAACAAGAAATTGTTCAGTGCAACTGCACATAATCCTTCGTTTTTCTAGGATTATAATAGACCAAAAATAAAATCTAGACAAAAATTCAAAATATACCAAGTGCTTGATATTGTTGAATAGTTTCTGAAGAATACCACAGAACGGTGGTCTTCAAGCACTTTTGCATTGAAAAAAATTCATAACAGAACTAGCCATAAAGGTGGAGCTACATTTAAGCCATTATTTTTTCAGTGCTGTCAAGTGAACTCTAGTTCACAGCAACTGTGCAATTAAGTTTATTACATGAGCCATTGGAACAGATGTTTTTCTTAGCAATTAGCTAATCGCAAACACCTTAGTCTTTGGCCCAGCCAAGAGCATTTGTAGCTCATTGTAAAAAGATTTATATTAAAAAAAAGGAAAAAAAAAAAAAGACAGCATTTGTACCAAAATCATGAAAATTTGGCAAGCTAAACTGTAAAATGTGTCTTTTTGTATCTACCCCAACCTTGGGCCTGAAACACCATCAAAAATAGTAACTGTATTAGTAGTCTTTACATTCATACCATTATTAATGTTTACACTTTCCCAAGAGAAAAAAAAAAAGTGTTTATTCTGTTTTGTTTTGCTTTTTGGACTGAAAAAAGGATGCACAACTTCAGTGTGGTTGCCTTTTTCCGACTGCTGAAAAGGACTTCTTACACAACTGTACTAAGAGTTTCTCCTAGAAACCCCTGATATTGCACGATCATTCTGTTGGATCTGCACATTGATTCCAACAGAGTTGTAATGCTTCACTTGTACACTAAAAAAAAAAAAAAAATAATCAAACAAAACCAAAGCAAATATAGTACCAGAAAAAGTGTTTTTAAATTGCGCCTTATTACAACTGAATAATTATAAACAGGCCAATGCAAGAACACTTTCGCTTTGGCAGTACTGAATAGAGCGTATGCAAAGCCTGTTTTCTTATGGCACACTGGAAGAATAAGTGAGTAATTTTCTAAAAATCAGTTTACCTCTATGCTGAATATGTGCTGCTCCACAGTGCTAGTCTTGTTTAAAAGGCATACGCAGACTTTCCATTCACCCTCACAGCATAGAATATTTTTTTTTTTTGTGCAACGTGTTAGCAATCTAAACAACTGCTCCACACAAACTGTCCACAAACCACTCATACACAATACTAATGCGACAGTAGATTACAATATGATAGCCATACAAAATATTCTATCAGATCACATATTTCTCTCCATCTGGAATGAAATTCGAATCTTGTAAGCTAGAAGACCCACAGTTCGATTTCTGTGTGTAGTTTCTCATCTGTGCTGGGGACAAAGTCTCCAGGGTGGACCCAGAAGTGTTAGCAGTCCTGACTTTATTGGCTGTAGATTGTTTAGCAGCAGAAGATGCTTTGTTACTGGCAACTACATCCAAGTTTCCAGTAGGGTCAACGATGGCGTTTATGACTGAGGGAGGAAGAGGGGAAGGAGGGAGAAAAAAAAAAAAGAAAAAAAAAAAATAAGTAAGACATACACAGACATATCAGCAGCACTCAGCAGAGTTTCTAGACAGAAGGACGCTGCCTTCATTTTGAAGGCAATAGAACCGTAGGCAGTACTCACATACATTTTAGTCACGATATTTTCTTCATTAATACCTTCAGGCCTAAGCAGCTTTAATAAGCAAAAACTCTCCCAAATTGAAGCTACGAGGACATTCAACTTTCTGGTTAAATCAGAAAAGACAAACTACAGCAGCCAAATAGCAAGCTTCAAGCAGCAGCCCAAAATGACACCTGTATGGTTTTGCGTCTTTATTAAGCTTCCAGATGATGCAAGAGCTTGTCTTGCCTCTTCTATTGCACAGAGCTCCACGTGCAAAATTCAAGTTAAAAAAGCATAGCACAGTTTATTGGCTGAAAGAGCTGCTAAATATTATTTCAGCAGAACAGACCTTTGCCAGTTCATCTTATGGGAATATGCTAATTGCCACAAACAAAGTATTTCCACAGCAACAGCTTCCACATTGCAAAAGTCAACAATTTTCTCAAAAATTGGCAGCACAAAATAAATCTACTGTTATTCCATATGCACTCGTCAGTAAGCACTATGCTAACAAACCAAACTTCTGCATCCTTTCCCAGCTTTCACTGGCAAATCAAGCCACATTATTTTAATTTGTGCAATTTACTGGCATTTGAGAGACAAAAAGAACATTTTACACGACCAACCTTCAAGCTGTTTTTGAACTCTCCTGAGCTCCTTCAGGATAGAACTGATTTCCTAGAAACAAAAGCATCAGAATGGAAAATTAAGCAACAAAGAACTCAACTGACACAGGAATCTAGTCTTCCTCCCTCAGCCTTATCTGATCAAGAAGATTCAAAGTCAGCTCCAACCTTGCTTACATAACAGAAAAGACAAAACTAGTATCCACAAAAATGATCAGAGGCATGGAACATCTCTCTCCTACAAGGGAAGGCTGAGAGAGTTGGGGCTGTCCAGTCTGGAGAAGAGAAAGCTCTGGGGAGACCTTAATGCAGCCTTCCAGTACTTAAAGGGAGCTTATAAGAAAGACAGGGACAACCTTTTTAGTAGCAGGGTCTGCTGTGATAGGACAAGGCGTAATGGCTTTAAACTAAAAGAGGGAAGATTTAGGCTAGATGCAAGGAAGATTTTTTTTATGATGAAGGTGGTGAAACACTGGAAGAGGTTGCCCAGAGAAGTGGTAGATGCCCCATTCCTGGAAACATTCAAAGTCAGGCTGGACTGGGCTCTGAGCAATCTGATCTAGTTGAAGACGTCCCGGCTCATTGCAGGGCAGTTGGACTAGATGACCTTTAAAGGTCCCTTCCAACTGAAACCATTCTGTGATTCTGTGATCTGTACCTAGATGCATCTGGTCAGCGCACAGGGACCTCTCCTCTGCATCATTTCACCAAGTGCTACTACACCACCCAAGTTCATAGCCACAGTGGATTTTAGATTTGAAATGCGAGCCAGATTAACTGTACAAAAGCTCCTCCACATCCTCCTTAACACCAAATGCATATTTGCAAACTCAGCTCCTAGACCAGACAAAGCAATTGGCCACATAATATATTGCTGTAGCACCAAGCTACGCAGGTCCTGCACAGTTGTATGTTAGCTTAGCACTAACCATATTTGCTGGGTCCATTACTGTACTTAAATCCCTACTGGTAGTCCCCATAAATGACAATAAGACAACATGATAGCACAAACACAAGCCTAGGGCTGAAGCTTTTTTATTGCCCTGTTATCGAACTGTTACAGGTGAAGAAAACAAACATTTATGAGAAACACCTGTCTACAGCTGAAGCTGTGGCAACCACATGGTGGGTGATGCTTTGGTAGATGTTTAAATGAGGCCTAATGACGCTGAACATGAATATCTGCTAAGGGACTGGGTCTTTGAAAATAAATCACAAAGGGAGAGGCAAAAAGTTTGATGAAACACAACAGCTGGAGGAACTTACTTTGTCACACTTAAAACCGCAACAAAAACCAGCAGCTCAACACAGGTAAACAGACTAGAAATTTCAGAATTTGAGAGGGGCCAGAGCTTGTTATGTTAGTTTCCTACAAAGCTTTCATGGACATGAGCCTTCGATGTTTCACTTGTTCGCACGGTCTTACCTTGTTTGATGTCTTCAGAATTGGCACTTCATTTTCTGAATTAATTTTGGCCTCCATCTCCTCCCAGGTCCTTTCTGAGTTTTGAAACAGAATCCTACAGCACAAAAAGTTGAGCAGGTCTTAAAATTGCCATCCAAAAGCTGCTTGTTGAAAGGACTTAATTATCACAAGATGTGGCAACAAAGGAGATTAGTGGATTAGCCATCAGACAAAGCGCCTTTCAGCTGATTTAGGAACAATCCAAAGTCCTTCCCTCACTGATGTCTCCTAGAGCAACAACACATTTTGAAGAGCTTTCACAAGCCTTGGTGACCTGCAGGCTTTCTAAGGGCCTTGGGACAGGGGAGGAAAGAGGAGACAATCCATCAACAGGAATACATTTTCTGGTAACTCTTTGCACAGGCAACATTTCAAAGTTAAGGCATCAACTGGCACTACAAATCCAGCATTAGAATTCCAAAGGTGAAACATACAAAGGAAAGAGATGGCAAATAATCATGTTACCTGTCATTCTCTACACACATAGTTTTCTACTTCTAGATTCCCTGCAACTTGTTATCAAGACTTTCCAAGACAACAATGTGTTATCTTCCACAAGCAGCAAGCCAACAGACTCAGCAACAACTCAACATTTTAGGCCAGGGCTAAAAAGTTACTTACTTCATTTTTTCAGCCAAATTTTCTGTGTTTTCACGGATTGTATGTGATAACTGGGACACCGGGTTCAACATCAGATTGTCAAAGATTACCTAAAATATAAGGGCAGATCAGAGAACTTTTAGCAGAAGTGGCATATTACAAAACTAGAAATGTTTACGGTAAATGATCTCCACTGAAACATCTTTATCTTTGGAGATGATATTTGAAGTTCACGGGAGATTAAGATGACATACAGCTTTGCTGCAGCACTTTGGCAAAAAGATTAATACCTTGTTCGGATTTTTTTTCTTGAGGAGTGTACAAAGAGACAGAGTTGTTTGCAGTAAGATAACTATTTAAGCACTTCTGAAAGAAAAAGCTTAAGACTTTCCAAGCCACACAGGCACCTCCCCCCTCAAATATAAATCAAAATATAAATCAAAGCCAAATCACAATGCAAGAAGTCGCACAAGCAGTCTCACTGAAACCATCTAATGTGATTTATGAGTTCAAGCCACTTTCACAGCCCTGTAATCCCACCATGCTACATTCTGCTTTATTTTTTAAAAACAACAACAAAAAAACCACCAAACCCCAAACATTCAAGTCCTGTGGTTCAAAAGGGCCCTCAGGGCGCATCAGCTGGGGGCACACTGATCCTGCACCTATTTTTCAGCCTTGGCACATCTCTACAGGGGAGTGAGGGATTGCTTCAAGTCAGTCACAGGACAGGATCGGCACATCAGTGGCTCAGCCCAAGTTTCCCTCCATCAGCCTGTTTGAGTCACACTCCCCCTCCAGAGCAGCAGAGTGACTGTGCCGGAGCTCAGCTCTCCCCTCCTGCCTGCACTGCCTCCCCAGAGCCTCTGCCCCAGCTCTTCCTTGTCAACCACAGCCAGCAGGCAGAAAGCGAGCAGAAGCAACAGCAGAGCGTTGCATCAGCAGCCTGATACTCCACCCTCTGTCACCATCACCTCCTTACAGCCCTCACTCCGACACCTTCCCCAGCCTCAAGTTTCAGGCCAGGCTTCCTCACCTTTTAGCATCATCCCAGGGATTTCCAGGTTACCCTGCTCTCTAACCCGAGAAGAATTGCATCAAATTGCACACTTAGGAGGGAACAACGCAGAACAACTGGCTTGCTGTGCAGACAGCAAGCCAGCTGTGCCATGGCACTCAAGCCCAGCTGCAGAAACTCCCCATGAGGTGCAGATGCTGCCACTGCTGCTGTATGGGCAGCTCTGACCAGCATGCCCATTGCAGAAAACCAAGGTGCTTTTATGGATTAGGAAAAACGGTTTTCGTGACGTGATTTCTTGCCATTAAACCACTGGTGCTGCAGATTTCAATGCTGACATTTTTGCACTTTTCTTTAAAAGAGCAGTGAAATAGCCTAAATGGGCTCTGACACTGAAAGCCTCCTCCCAAACAACAAGTGACCAAGCCTCAGGTTTTAATGGAGTTTTACACAAGAGAGGAAATTTCCAGTTAGTATTGGCAGAAGGGTGATTCTGTTCCTCTTTTTTTCTTTTTAAACACTGTTTCTATATCTGCAAGTCAGGGCTCCTGAGAAGTGCATTTTTTTTGAGTAGCCTTCTTTGGCAGCCTAGAAAGAGGGGGTATACATACTGCAGCTTAAAGCAATGTCATATACAAAATAAAGAAAAAGGTGGCCTGCCTCCTCACGGTTTCTTGTCCTTGTTTTTCTTGAAGGATCCTCTTCTCTATTATCATTCATATTTTGGTCAAAATCCTTCAGTTCCACTGATCCCGGAGGCACTTTCTGGTAGTTCAGACTTGCTTCTGGAATGTGCTGCACCAACTTGGAAATAATGAGTAATGAGTCATTAAAAATTAGTAGGGAAGGAGGCACACAGGCACTCACTGCAGGTATTGAAGATTTTCAGGCAAGTCCCAGAGGAACACTGATTTGTTTAAGACTCGTTCAGACAGGTATGGGTTCCTAAGCAAATTACTAGACCCCAATCCTGCAATCTTCTACCCACTGCAGTCATCCTACGAAACTCAGTGGGGCTACTCCACTTTATAATTTTGAGACTCAAGCACATAGTTGAAAAGTATGTCTTTGCCTTTTTCGAATTTAGGCTAAAACTCAAAAAGGCCCTGTTTTCCCATATCTTACATTTTAATACATCAATGCAACATTAAAGCCACACTAAAATTAATCAGTAACCATTTAGTAACACATGGAAGAGATGAAAAAGCAATACAAAACCACCGATAATGCAAATAATTAACAGGAAGAACAGAAAAGGCAAGACAGCTACTCCTGTCTGGTTGACTGACAGACAAAAACTCCAAAAGAAGGGGAGGAAAATAACAGTGACAAGCCAGAGATACAAAAATAATGGGATGGAAAGTGCACCTGAGATGGATATGCCAGCCGAAAAGATCTACGAGCAATCTGTGTTAAAACAGAAACAAAGAGATCAATGCTAGTGAATGACTGTGACAGCAAGTATCAAAGAGAACACGTGGTTTGGGGTTATTTTGGGTTGACATTCCCAAAAGCGCATTCCTGAGGACCAGCAGTAGATGCCCACCCCCCAGCATGCACTGAAGCCCACGGAGGTCCTGGTCACCAACCAGTTCTGCAGAGGTGGTCTCGGGCAGCTCCCCAGTTACTTCGAAACGGACTGTGCTGAGTGAAATCCAGCAGCCCTCCGAGCACAGAGAACGGGCTGAACATACAGCCCAGGAGGCTCTTTAGTTGGCAAAGCACACAGCTCTTGCGAGGAAACCATGTGCCATCCAAGGTCCAGTCTCCCCACACTCTATGCAATAGCACTTGGGTTACACACAGGCAGAAGTTATGAGATATTATGGTACAGGGGCACAACAGCCAAAATGTTTAGCTAACAACCTTCTCTTTTTTAAGCATCCTTTTATGAAGTGCAGAAACAGTAAGTTAGGCTGGTTGCAGCAGTGAAACAGCGTCAGAAAGGAACGAGATATTCCTACAGTCCAGCAGTTCTCAGCACAACCAGTTAAAAACACCCTAAGGGCAGCACCTGCTCCCCCATCACCAGGAGATTTTCACATGTGACCTGGTTTGTTCTCATGCTTTCTGTTGTCACACCTGTAAGCATTTCCTCTTGTCATGCCAACACTCATAATGAGTACGTTAAACAACAACTTAACAAACATAATTGGGCTCTTAAATTTTTGCTATATCATTATTAACTCTAAAAAAAATACCAACCAAAAGAATGTTGTGCAGGGCTAAAATTTGCAGAAGTGGCCAGTGATTTGGGATGACTCACTTGACTCCACTTGCAGCAGCTGAGCCTTCAATATGACTACTCTGCTCTGCAGAAAGCTGGGTCCTGTAAAACCTACAAACCCACAACCCAAGGATTCCCAAAGAAACCACAGCTTTGGTAAACAGGAATCATGAAGGTTTCACCCTTGCTGGACCCCTTTTTTGTTTTGTTTGGGGTTTTTTGCTTAATTTGTAGCAGTACTCAGCTCACTATGCCAAGAATCTAGGTTATTATAAACTATAGAGCTGAGGCTACAAAAACAAACAAAAACATCCCAAACACGCACTGGGGAAATTGAAAACCTCCCTGGCAAACATCCAAGCCAACACTGGACCTGAAAGGACAGAACATGAAGAATAAGGTTTAAATCCAAGGCTCCATCTTAACTTTTACAGGAATATTCATGATTAATCTTTAACCAAGCTTCATAATAAAAGTAATTTAAAAAGCAATTCGTTTGAGGCTAAGAAATGCTGTGCCACACAATGGACCCAAGTGAAGCTTCCAGTATGGCATTAAACCGTCAAAAGTGATTCCAACATCGGCCCTTATTTTTCCTGCATTTTCCCCCACTATATTAGAATAGATATAAATATTTAGTAGTATAAAATAAAGAGCTAGCAGAATGGCATACAACACTGCAAGAGCTAGAGCAGTATAAGAGATAGTCACACACAGCAAATATTTCTCATTTACATACTTCCTTTTATGAGATGTTTCAATACATTACTATTCTAACTATAATAGCTATTTCTCATCACTATGTCCTTTTCTAGAATATTTAATATAAAGTTGTTTAATAAATACTCACAAAATTCAGTGTTTAGCATCATACACACTGATCTTCAGATATTTCCTAGCAACTTCCCTGCATTAAGCCAAAATAATTATTTTAGCACAGATTCCACCGCACCCAGACTGAGGGAAGCGTGTCCACTGATTCTACTCCAGTTCCAAAGACGCAATGTGGGTTTATTAAACCCACATCAGTTTATATCACTCCCATTCATAACATGACCCCAAAGATGCACAGTTCAGGATCCCAAGCTATTCAGGATTCAAGTCTACATCTCAGCATTGCCAGCAGAAAGTCCTGCTGATTTAACCTGTTCCTGGCTATCGTTAACATACAGCAGCTCCACTGATGCATGGTGGCATTTTGGGTGTAACTCCAATGGCCTCCCAGCTGCTGGCGCTGCTGAAATCACAGTGCTGTCCAACCCTTTTTGGAAGAGTCTAGTTAAAAGCCTTTATGGTGGTTTCAACCAACACTGGCTGAACACACCAAAGGGTATGGCTCCTGAGCCCTCTTCACAGGCTCCTACCAGTGCTTCTTCATTTACACCACTGTAAGATCTCAAAAACTGCTCTAGCAGTGGGTACTGCCAGGAGCATTACCTACAGCACGACACAGCCCTGTGTTTGCTCTTCCCACTACCTCGAGGGGGCTGACCAGCACGTCCCACACAGTGCACGGCAGCGCTGCAAAGCCACGTCGCGGAGAAACCCTCAATTCGCCTGAGTGCAAGCAATCCTGGCTTTGTGATCCTGCCATTCAGCGTCACAACCACGTCCTTTGGAGCCCATCATTTTGCACAGAGTAGAAACGCTGAGTTTTGCAGGTGTTCTTCCTCTAGCAGCAGAGGAAATCTCTCTGTAAGCTAACTTAATGGTCATACCGTTCAGTGGTACTGGACAAAAAAGTAGGTATGGTGATTTTCTGGAAGGAAGCAGGAGCTGAGTACTGGTCATTGCCAACCCACTGCAAAGATGCAAAACTTGCAAGTTAGAAGTACAGTGGATTTGTCACCTTAACTGCTCAAAAAGAATACAAAAGGCAGTTTTGCAGGTGTGGCACTTGCATGGACAGAAAGCAATAAACCACTTTATCTCAGAGCCTGAAGTTATTGAGAAACATTTGTGCACTGTGGCTCCAAACGGCCTGAGGAAAACCCCCGCCCTGAGCAGGCTGCAGTTGACATGGGTTTAACACAAGCACAGCCACAACCGCCTGATCTTCTGGGTATCTCCCTAAACTTCTGCTTTGCACCTTCAGTGATGAACACAGCAGGGTCACATGTACTCTCTTGGGAAGGTAAGAGGTTTGGTCGTCAGCTTCGAACCCTGCTTAGACAGGTCTGCAATTAGCACAACAGTCAAAGACAACAGAGGGCAAAGAGGCACATCTGAACAGCAGATAAAGAGAGCTGTGTGTTTTTTTTAAGCCCACACTGCTGGAAGACAGGAGGGAATTTGGATTTAAACAGCAGCAAAGGCAATTCTGCTTTAGCCAGCTGGAGCCTCCTGGTGACCTTGCAGACAAGTTTGAAGCTGAGCTGAGTCCCTGTGCTGTGGCACTGGTGAGCCAAATTAAGAAATCACTCCCTCCTCCCCACTCTAGTGCAAACAAACTGTGTTACAGAATTCAGGAGGAACCCACAGCTTCACTGAAGAGCTGGAGGACAGCACTTCCCAAGCTAATAACCTTCCTCCTTGTGCACCTCGCTGGCTGGAGAGCAGAGTCCCAGCCCTTGCCCATCAATACAGATGGAGGGAAGGGATTCATGTAACATCTGTGCTGCATTTGAACAGCCCTGGCAGAAGGGACACAGCAGAGGTACAAAATACACAGCTGACACAGAGAGTGCAGCCAGAGCACGTCTTCAGTGAAGCACATCTTCAGTGCCTTGTCTGAAACAAGGAGGGAGACTTGGTCCCTGGTACAGCAGCACAGTGCAGCATGCCCACCCCATCCTGCTCCTTGGATGCAAACTTCAGGGACCAAAGTGCAACTGCAGGCCATGAAATCCTTAGGCAATAATACGAGGAATCTAACATTTTGACACTAGGGCCCCTCCTGCTTCCTGGAGGCACAGTAAGGAACCCCCAATGAAAGCCAAACCTGCCCAGATCCAATATAGCTCTTGACCCATGCAGCCTGCTCCCACCTCTTGCAAGGCTGGCTGTGGCACAGGGGAGGGCAAAATAAAGAGCACCCTAAACAGACTGCAGTCAATCTTTCTGCTGGTGTTTTTTAGGGGGGCAAGTGGTGAGGTTTTTTTAATGCTGCAGCAACTGGTGATGCTGCCCCGGTCTCCCACCACAACCGTACCCTGCGTACTTGTTCGCATTCAGAGGCAGAAGTTTCTGTCATTCAGGATCTTACCTCTTCTCTCGCTGATATGGTAGAAGCAGGAGTGTTGGGCACAGAGCTGAGGGAGGTGCTCGGTCCCGTCCCCAATGAACTCTGCGAGTCCCCATCTCCAGCAACATCGTGAATCTCTCGAGCAAGGATGGCCACATCCTTCACCAAGGTCTGGCTGAGTCTGAAGCACAGGACATGCAGCAGAGTCATCAGGACACATGATACGACAAGCCTTGTACTCATAAAATATAAAAGGAGCAGCCACCAAAAGTTTGTATGAATTACAATTTCTGCAGAGGCTAAGGAAAGTAGTTTTTCTGGGGGGTGCCTTGGCAGAGTGCTGAGGAATACTCTGGCTGCATACAAGAGAAACAAAATAAATCCATTCCCCTCCTGAACCCAGCTTCAAAGTAGAGATTTGATGAAAAGCAAGTTCTAGTGACTATACAACACCAGAAGGTATTGGAGACAATCCATAAAGAAGTGTTATGTTATTCCTCCCCCACCCATCCACTCCACTTCCTTCTTTTTTCTTTTTTTATTTAATAGAACGCAGCCACTTTTTCTTCTTGAGACTTCTTTCTTTACCCTTAGAAAGCCCGTGCAAGGAAAAGCTTTTTTCTTTATTACCTGAATAATAAAATTTCAAACTCTCTTTCCTTCTCCTTTGTGGTTTAGAGACTGTAAATCAAAGTACGCCTCCACGCTCTCCAGAAGGGCTGAGGGATTACCAGGGTAAGCACAGCACACCTTAGAGGGATTTGGTTTTCAGAAATCAAGTCTTGAAACTTCAAGCCTCTTGACAGGTGTCCAGTTAACACACAGCAATTGCAGCACTCTGCTCTACATGCTCTAGATCTCAAAAACAGTTTCTAAGTCTCTGGATTGTTGCTAGAAGAGCTTAAAAAAACCCCTTCAGACCAAAAGTAGCTGTTGTGGTAATTCTAAGAAAAAGCTTCTAAGAGAAAAAAAAAAAAAAAAGATCTCCCAGCTAGCTAGCTTCATCCAAAAGAGACTTTCTTCTTTAATTTGAAAAACCAAGCAATGTAATAAAACTGTCAGTTCCTCAAAACATTTCCTCGAAAAGAAAATGCATAATTGAATAATAAAAAGCAGTTTGATCTGCCTGCCTAAGGTGCCCCCTATCCGTGCTGATTTGGATAGAGCTGTCACAGAACACATCCATTATGTGATTCACTTACTGTAAACAAGTGGCATTTTCCCTTTTAACTCTCTCCGACTCCTCTAAACCCCTCCCAGTTAATTTGGGAGCAGCAACGGAAATCAGAACTGCAATTACGAAGCAGACTCTGTGACCGAGCCCTGCAACGTGCAGCGCCAGACAAGTCTGATGCAACCATTTATTTATAGCTGCTGCAACCCAAAGCGCTCTCCCGCGCTAGGAACGCTGCTAGGAGGGAAGCCAGCGTCTCCCACACGCATGCTTCGTGCGGCACAGGTAACGCAGCCTGGTTTGAAGGCTGACACACTTTCTAGCAACCTGACAGCAAGGTTCAGGCAAGAAAAGCCCGTTTGAAATCAGTGGGGCAAGTGATAAGGGTGACGTGGAAATGCTGACCAGAAGCAGACAGAAGACAGCTTCCTCAGTCAAAAGTATTTCAAGTATGGCCAGTACAATGGAAGACCAGTATTTCTGGAAAGTTGGCATAACACAGTTGCATATTAGAGATGTCAAAACTCAAATGCCACTGTTTAAAAAAAGAATCTATTTGCTTTACTGCCGAGGTCCTCCAGGCAACCACCAGACCACCAGTACGCAATAGGTCCCGTATCCAGGGACATCAAGCTAAGCAACAACTCATTTATACACAGGGGCCAGACACATTTGGATTCAAGTGTACTGAGCAAAAACATTTCTGCCCTGCAGCGACTGCTTACTGCTTCCTCACTGGCTTCAGGCAAAGCAGCTTCAACAGTTTACATGTTCAGTCTTTGCTAATCCATTTGACTTCCTCTGCAGAGAATTAGGACAGTTCACACCAACTGGTCTGTGCACACACAGTGACTTCCAGCAGAAAGCAGAGATAAGCAGGTATAGACAGTTACATCTTTTGACAGACTTCAAGCTACAAGAGGAGATCCATCCACAGCTTGAACAAGAAACAAACCAAGATACAATGCCCTGCACCTTGGCATTTTCTAGAGAGAAGGTACAACCAGCACATCCTAGCACAGGCTATAAAGCTTCATGAAAACATTCCAAGCCTAAACAAGTCAATGTTCAGACATGAAGGAGATGGAGGGCACACAAACAGCTGGAAAGAGTACCTTCTACCTCCACAATTGAGTTTGACTTGAACACCAAGGAAAACTCAACCCATTTTCAATATGTGGGTCAACACATAAAGCCCCACCTCACCTGGCTATTTCTGCTATCTCTGCTGTTTGCGCCATGAAGTTGTAGGGGTCAGGGTGGTCATCAAAATCTTCATCATCATCCGTTTCTCTGCCATTGTGCTTCTGCTTGCTCAGCCCAGAGCCACGTATCCTCGGTGTTTGTGTGGCTGTTGAAGTATGGGAGCGTTTGTGTTTAGGGGAGCTGTGATTTGAGCCATATTCCTCCTCCGAAGTAGAAGTGTAATCTGAACCCTGCGGTCTCCGCCTTGATGCTTATAAAAAATGAATTGGTTTCAGACCAAGGAAAGTAGTAAAGAATAACTACAAAAGGGCAAAAAGGTAACACAAAACTAGCCCAAGAACACAAGGAAAGGAGAGTTTCTGTGCAGATTTTAAATTAAAGAGCACATTCTCAGAGCTTATTTCAAAGTTGAGCATTTCTGTGGCTCCCATTCACTATACAAATTTGTGGTGGGAAATTCCAATGGAAAAGCAAAATGACTGTGTTAACACCTCCAATGTAGTAAATTATTACCACAGACTTGGCTTTCCATGCACAGAAGCTCTGTGTATAAGTAGCACACGTTTACAGACTCCTCATAGTCCCACAGAAGTCCTTGTCTAAAAAGAGCCCAATTTTCAAGCCTGCAGACACCTTTCCAATTAGATGTGAGTACAAGCAAAAGGAGGGGCTTTTGAGTGAAGAACAGACTATAGTGATTGGTGTTATTTGCAAGAGTTCACGCCCCCCAGTTCGCCTCCTGCCTCGCAATTCACCATTAATGACACTCTATGAGAGTCAGGACCAGCTCTAACCCCTGGAGCCAAGTGGAAGCTGTCCACTTATCCCGACCAGTTCTGCAGATCTGTAGACACCCAGGTCCTCCTTGCACGGGAAGCACCGAGATGTCCTTATTTGAAAACTGGGCTCCCAGTGTTCGCTGCTGCACTACACTCTCTGTGGATACTGCTTCATTCCTTTCCGTCTTTCCCTGAAGAATGAAGACCCACCAAACACAGAACCAGCTGAGTTATTTAAAATTACAATACCTAAAAGCTTCACTGTGTTACCGAGATTCTCATAATGCTGAACCACTGCAAGCGAATTAAGCCAGCATCATAGACCATACAAACAAAAATAATGAATTTGGCATATAAGATCCAGGTAGAAACTACAGATACTTACTGTATAGTGAAAAAAACATTCCTAGACATTGCTATCTCAGCTATAGCTATATAAATGTCTTGGCTTAGGATTAAATATATATATATATATACTGGAAAAAAAATTGCTCATGTTCCAGCAGTAAAGATTTATTTGTTTTACTTTTAACACAGGTATAAATCAAGAGGTCCCCCTGTCACTGAAGAGCAGTTTTAAAATTAAGAGCCTTATTTTCCATCCCTGTACGCCAAGAGAAATCAGTATGAACTCCCTCGGTACCATTCAAATAATACTGAGTAAACAAATCGTGTACACAGAGGAGTAGGGGAGACAGGCCCTTAGCTTTCAGAACTGGTAATGTGGATTATTCTGATGTTATCTGTGCATTTCACAGAAAGTTACTTCAGAAGGCCTGACAATCTACTGGCATTTCTTGTCTCATAGCCAGATAGTTCATTCTGTTCCTCCATTGGCGAGATTAACCTTCTCCCACTAGGAGAGCTGGAAACTATTGTGGTTATCTAAATGCTTTAAGAAATCCTTGAATAAATCAGCCACATCTGCCTCCTTACTCCCAAGGCTTGACAGGCAGTGTTTTCAAGGGTTATTCTATCATGCTCAAAAATGTCTTGATGGCACAGTGCAATAGTTCAGTTTATCAACATTTCACTTTTGTTCCAGGAATGGATGGGATGCTAGGTGTTGATTCACTATAACAGTATTAGTATCGGAACATACATCACACACTTGGTACAGCACGATGAAGCACGAGGTACACGAGTATACCTAGAGCTTGTGCAAGGTCCACAATCCTATCAAGGAATTAGGAGGTTAGTATTTTAAGAGCAACTAATTCAAAGAAAGGATTAGCATCATTTGCTGCAACTATGCACAAGGAAGGGTGTTAGCATGCTGCTACAAAGCTCTGGAAATCAAAAACCAATTCATTTAAACCAAGAACTGGCCAACACTTATCACTTTTCTCCAAATGATTTGAAGTCTGTGGTCCAAAGGCAGAGGGAGCGCAAAGAGTGCCTCCTGTTCGGAAAACTCTGACCACGTTATTTTGTTTTAAATTTGTTATTGTTTAACACGAAGTCAACGTAATCTCAAAACAGGCAAGAGAAGAGACTGTACATAATCTTTTAGCTTATTCCCATTCTGATTTACATGCATATATAAATGTGCAAGAAAAACAATCATTAAAATAAAAAGGAAGCTGGATGCACTAAAACAATCCAAATCAAAACAAGCAGCAAATAACATTTTTAGCATGCAATAAAAATGAATAGTGCAAGAAGATAATTATTTCAACTATATAAAAGTATAAGAAAAGGATACACCTAGAATTCTAAGACTCCTTACAAAAACACAAATCTGGTGAATATAGCATCCCTCTCAACAGGCCTGAGCAACCCAAAGGGTTTCTTCCCGTTCCTTGTCCCTCCCATCATTCCTAAAAACCTAAGCAAACAGATCTGCTTTGCCACATCCATGGTAGGTCAAAGAGTACAGGCACAGGCCAGGATTTAAACCAAAGGTGAAGGGGACAATCTATGGTTACCAATTATGATCTTAGAGTGGTCATCTGCATTGTCCACACCATTTAATTGAAGGCTGATTTCAGTATGACGAATGTTGATATTGCAAGGGTCTGTTGAGTGCACAGCTACGGGGCAAGACAGTCCCCAAACCACTGCTGAGTGGGAAACCCTACTGTGCACCTGCCTTACCTATGGCGAAAGTGAATGAAAACACACAGCAGAGGGAATCTCTTGGGGCAATCAACGCGTAGTGTCCAGCCCCACATTTGCATTTACAGGAAAAACAAGGGAACAGCCTTCAAAACCCAGGGGCATTTCTTTATTGTTTTCCTTTTCAGATGCCTTTGAAACTGCCACCTTAGACATCAGCTGTCATCAATACCATAATGAGCTTTCTTGGAGCAAACTTTAACTCTCAGAAGTCAAAGAAGAGCAGAACAGAATTCCTTGTAGCACTGGAAAGGCATTAAATTCTACTTTTTTTAACAGAAAAAGGCAAACATGCTCTTGTCAAACGGCAACTGGGTGCCAAAAAGCAAATTCACTGGTGGTGGCAGGGGTGGAAATAGCCATTTGCAGTATCCTCACAGACAGCACCACAATAACATCTTGCTGGGTATGCGAGATGCTCTGCTGTCTCCAAAGCCACAGGAAATTTCAACCACCCTAACGGTCGTTAATGCAGACTTTTGTACTCACCGATGCAGCACTTGTAGTACTGAGATACCAATCCTTGGCAACCATGTGCAGCCTATAAATCAGAAAGAGGGGAATAGGGGAGAAACATAAAGCATGAGCACTTACTGGATGAGGAGGAGTACTTGACACTGCTTGAACGGGTCCTGCTGTCTGAAAGCTTGCTGCGGGGGGGCGGCGGCCGCCGTTTTCCTCGCTGCAGTTCTAACCTCCGAAACACCCATCTTCCGATAGGACTCTACGCTCCGGCCTGAAAACCCCGACCTTGACTGCGCCGTTTCAGAGTCACTGGGCACTGTAAACGAACCTGCCCGTTTCCTTGGCATGGCGAGGATGTCCAGCCGGGAGAGCTTCTTTGTCTCCGTGGACTGCTTGGAGCCTGGAGCAGCAGCTTCAGGGTTGGAGATTGTTTTCTCAGTATCAACGCACTCATTGTCTGAAGCATCTCCCAGCCGGGCACGACGTAACTTTGAGGCCCTTGTGGGCCGTGGGGTGGATAAACTGTTGGAACGGGTGAGAACTTGCTGGATCTTCTGCACATTGGAGGTTGTTTTGCTGGGGTCCTCCTTGGCAGCCTGAGTAAAAGGTTTCCTTCTGGGAACCGGTCGGGTTACTGAGTGCTCATGGTCAGACACAACCGCGTCAGGAACCGGCAAGTAGGGCAGGCTCGAGCTTCTCTCATCATCCGTGAAGTCGAGCGACCCTCGAGTCCCAGCGCTCCGCTTCATCTGGAAGCGTTTGGCAGCCTCCGCGCGGTTTGATGCCTCCGGTGCTTGCGTTTTCCGCTTCTCCGTCAGCCTGTCCCGAGCGCTTGGCTGCCCGCACTGATCCTGGATGGATGGTGTGGAGGAAGATTTCTCCTTCTGCAAGCTTGCGATTGCTTTGCGTTTCGGGGCGCTCGTCGGGACATTTTTGCCACTCACCAAGCTGACCGTGCTGGCAGTGTCCACGTCCGAGTCCCCCGACAAGGAGTCCTCCAGCTGACCAGCAGTTTCCGAGGGCTCCAGCTGTTGGCTTTGACCAAGTAATTTGGCTTCCAGTGCTGCCAAGGCAGTTTCAGTGTCCTTAAGGAGAAGATGAGTCTCCTGACCAAAGTCCATACGGGTTGACCGAACAGCCTCTAAATCTTTAAGCAGAGGATGACTTGAAATATGCGGGAGTTTATTTTGAGGAACACCACTGCTTGATTTATCTTTGGTAAAACTTTCCTGTCTAACAAAAGATGATGTCTCCTTTCCTGCCATGCTTTCCTGATCTTGAGGAAGACTCTGATGAAGGGAAATAACCACTTTTCCTGCTGCATTAATGTAAGCACTAACATCTTTGACCTGTGACTTTCCAGGAACTGGCACACCAGCAGTCTTGAAGGCAAACTCCTGATCCTTGCTGTCTTTGTCTGCTCGAGCATGGGACACGCTTAGAGAGAGCTTGGAGGGAATCCCCACGTCATTGCTGTCATCACCAATGTAGAAAGAAGTAGAAACTGGCTCACTTACAGCTCTCACGTTTGAGACCCGGGAGGCTCCTGGCTGCCGACTCTCTGATTTTGTGTCTTCCCCCATCTGCTCTAGTGTTTTATTGTTCTCTTTATATTTCTTGCCTTTTTCCGTGCTGAAGCCATCGTCAGATCTGCTGGCATCGCTGAGGCTATCTGGATCCAAGTCTTCCTGGATGAAGAGGCGGCTGCTGGGATCAACATAGGCTTCCACACAGTGGTCCTTCATGACGGTTCTCTTGGTAACTTCAGAGTAGGACTCCTGGCAGACCAGGACCGCAGGCGTGGGACTGTCTGATTTATCACTTGGTGGGAGTTGGGGAAGAAGGCGCCTTGTTCTCAAGGGCACAGCGTTTTCTGGTTCCCCAGATTTTTGGGCTACACTGCTTTCTGAAGAGAGTTAAGTGGACAAGAATCAACTGTTGTACAACTAGACCACTTTTTTTTTTTTTTTTTTTTAATTAAAGAATAGCTTGATCTGGCAAAGTGCAAGTCCACAAAAGCGCTCACAAGATACGTGCTTAGAACTCAGCTTTTATGTAATATGAACACCTACAAGGCCTGGCTCCTGTTTGGTCCGTCAGGTTCATCAATATAGACACTTAAGGTAAAATTGTACTTAATTCCTTTGCTGGATCAGAGTGCGCAACACCTTCCCTCTGTCAAGGTAGGATTTCAGATTCACTCTCCTATAATCTACCTCTCAGTACAAGCACATACGTTTAGAGGCTAACGGCATTGCTGACATCAGTCTACCATAAATCAAGCCATGGGAAGGAGATGAAAAGCCATCAGACAAACCATTGCAGTGATGCACTGTTTTAAGTGCCATTCTAAACAACATAGCCCATTTGACTAAACAGATGGCATTTTTCACAGTACAAGTTCTCATATGAACATATCCCCCAGGAAAGTCCCAGGAGAAAGACCCTGTAACAATTAAGAGGCTCTAAATTAGAGCTCACCATCCCAGCGTGGGTGGGCCTCTCAGTATGGACACACTTCATAGAAAGAGTGCTTTTATTTCTCCCATGCCGCTGGCCAGGACTTCATATCTGATACCGCCTTTAAATACCAGGATAACTGGTTATTTGACTATGGTAATATTTCAAATGCTCCAGGAGTCAGGTTCTCACACAGTGTGAAAACAGTAGCAGCGACCTCTGAAACACAGGTTTCTTCTAATCTATACCAAGTCTATGTATCTCTGTTGACGGCATGAAGGTAATGAGAAATATTTCCGAGCAAAAAAGGGAGAAAATGTTTACAAAAGCCAACAAAGCGCTGTTCTCCCTTTCTCACATATTAAGAGGACCAGGGGGTCTGTAAGCTGTCTGGCCAGCTACGACGGGAGCCTGATCTCCTCCCGCTCCCCTTCTCCACTCCATACCCGGTTTTCTACGCTAATCTCCACACTTCAAACCTGCCACCCGACAGCAAACCCCAGAACAGCCTAAAATTCTCAGCACAGCCAGACACAGGAGGAGCACACAAAAAAAGCACAAGTCAGCAATGAAGTCCAAGACAACTTGCTTTCATCTGGCATCATAAGGCAATCTAAAGAACAACTTCTCGGGGCTAGTTAACACCCATGGCCCTTACAATCTTTCTCCTTCCCAGGTGCCCTTTAGTCATGTCAAACATAACATTTAAGAACTTCTTGGATGACTCTGAAATGCAAACCAGAGGCTCTCTCCATCTTTACTCCACTGGGAACAATTCACTCTGTCCTTCCCACCCCAAGTACATTAGCTAAAACAGAAAATACGCCTCAGCCAGATGCACAGGAGCTCTTAATGCTTGCCTTTCACATCATCCTGGCTTAGATTCAGCCACCTTCAAACAGTAATGTCAGGATGACTTACCTGCACCTCCATCACCCTGCCCAGAGACAGATCCAGAGTCAGAATAACTGTCCGCAAGGCTCGCCCACCTAGACACCCACTTCTGGCTCCCTTGAGATGCCGCAGACATCTACAACAAGGTGGGGAAGGCAGTGTCAGAAAGAGGGTTTGTAAACCAAATCCTAGCTGCAAAATCTCTCCTCTCATACACACATCACTCGGTCTCCTCAAAATGTAAATCTACCTATGCATCACATTTCCATCCAGACAGAAAACCCATCTACACCTCCACCATCCCAGCAAATCCACCTGGACTGCCCGTACCTGCGAATCAGCCTGAGACCCATTCACAGCTTTTGAGGCAAATGCCTGGAGCAAGGGTGACTTCTGACTAGTGCCATTTTCACTGATTAGATGTTGATGAGAACCGGAGTCATCTTTTTCACCTTTAATTATTGGTCTAAAGGCTGAAGAGATTCTGGAAAATTCGGGCGACTCAAGAACACCAAAAACCTGAAAAGGTGTTTGCATGGGAAAGATTAAAAACCAAGAAACTAGAAAAATATTAGCCCAAAATCCAAATCCACCAAACATTAGTCACACACAAACTATGATCCCAAAGGGCCAGAAACACTTGCCAACGCTTCCATACAAACTATGTAAATCACTTTCTTCTGTACTCCACAGTAGCAGCTCTAAATATACTTATTCAGAGAATCCCACTCACACCCACCTTTTCTCTCACCCTCATTATTTCCGCGTGTTGCCTTTAACAGTAGTAACTTTCACTGAGGAGGAGTCCCTTTTCAGCCCTGAGAAATTTAGGATGAGTGTCAGGAAAGCTATTTACTAGCTCATTCATGGAGAATTAGAGAAAAAAGAAATAAAAAAAAAATAAAAAATGGGAAAGCTCCATCTCCAGGTTCTTTCATAGACTGTAGCAGAGAGTGAGCTGGGCAAAGCAGCCTTGAACTGCCATGTGAGGACCTGGGAAAGGATGCACCTCCGAGACAAGCGAGTGTTTGAAATAGTTGGCCAGATTCTCCCTGGAGATACACAGGCCTTCTTAGCGGAGTGACCAACAGTCATGCCTCAGAAGGGCTTGACTCTATTCCCTGACTACAAGCTCAGAGGAGGATGCCACCATGGGGGTTGCCTAGGCTGGGCAGAGCTAACCATAAAGTTCTCCACTCTCACTTCTATTAAAAAAAAAGTGTGTGCAATGGTGGGGGAATAAAAAACAGAGTCACCTCAAAACCTCGGCAAGTCCAGAATTCGTACCATCTTTCTTCCTGGACAGAACCACTGAGGTCCAGTGAGGAGTTGTTTCCTAAGTGCCCCGCCCTGAAAGCTTCCGATCACATTTCAAACAAAATGTAAGGAAGAAATGTAATAAATAAACAAACGAGGGAAGCTAGAGCCAGGCTCATAGAACACTGTATACAAAGCTCTAAAGTCAGGTTCAATTAAGGCTTCCTTTAAACCTCACCATCCTCCTGCCTACACTTCACTAAATCTTCATAGCAACTTGCCAGTTTTGTTTTCATAATAGACCACAGATGAAAGTTAAACCTGAAAATCAGCCAAACTTTGGTTTGCCCCGCGGTTGCTTAGTTGGGTGGGTTTTGTTAAGCCTCTCCCTCATCTCTGGGGTTTTGTTTTTAGACTATCATTCACTTTGCAAAATCCAAATGAGTATAGATTCATCTAGGATTGCCTCTGCCCTACACCACACCCTTCACTATCTCAACTAGCTGCCACTTGCCCTGCCAGCAAGCACTCCCTTTCTAACCAAGCACATCCAAATACAGAACCACCTACCATTGTGGCTTGTGAAGAATCAAGAGCACCAGCCCTTGACCTGCGTTTCCTTAGCCTACCACGGGATGCTGCGTCAGTGATGGGCTACAGCTCCCATCCTTGTAACAGCGGGCAGGAGGTGATGCAATGCCAAGGCAGAGGCCTGGGAGCAGTTCTAGAAAGCAGAGCTGCTCCCAGACACGACTCTCGGCAGGATCAGCCCCATCTTTGTTCTGCTGTTGCCTTTCCTCTAAACAGATGGCAAACGCACTGTTGTACTTTTACATCTAAATCTCATTTTGGAAGCAAGGCAGCTCCTTGCTGTGGGCTTACCTTGCCTTGCAGTCTGTGGGTTTTTTGTTTGTTTGTAATTCTGTTGTTTTGTTGGGGTTTTCTAAAGATCACCCTCTCCATTTTTTCAAGGCCTATCCTTAACACAGGTCATTTCCCAGGATGATTTCCCACCCCTAACCACAAATCCCCACTACATCCAATTCAAAAGGGAGCAGTCCTTCACGGCAACAACTAATGAAGTTAGGCCCTCCAGCACAACGTGCAGAAGCCCAAGCCTTCAGCCCTCAACTCACTGGCCAAGCACAGAAAAGCAGCATTTACCTGATCTATCATTTTTCGTGCTTCCTCCACCTCTTTATCCTGCGACTCTGTCTCGATGGTGTATGTGCCTGTTTCACTCACACTGTCTTCCTCGTCGTTCCTCCTCCCCTGGGCAGACTTTACCTCCGGAGGTGGAGCAGAGGTAGACTCTGGTTCTGATGATACAACCACGCGTGGAGCTACCGGCATGGGCAGAGGTGCTGGTTTCTCAGCACTCGGCTTCCCAGACTGAGCAGTCTCCCGCAAGTACTCAGCCATAAAATCCTGAGCCATTTTAGACTTCCTCCCAACACTCCCGTAAGTTTTGGCTGGTGCTCTAGGAGCAGAAGAGGATGAAGAGTTGATCCGATCCTCCGTCTTCTCCCTCTTGAAGGAGCTAGTTCTTTGGGTCCCGGAGGAGTTGTTATTGGGCTTGCCTGCCTGGGCCCCAAGGTGGGACGGCGGTACCGCAGTTCCCAGCTTCTCTGCTGGCAATGCATTCTTGCGCTTTTCCACCTTGGTCTTCAGCCCTGGATCGGTGTCGCTCTGGGAGGAGTGAGCGCTGTGCGTGAAGGACTGTGACCTCTTCTTCCGCGGCGTGTCCTCAAAGAACTCGATGACGAAGGCCTGCTTGCTGTGCAGCATCTCGTGGGGATCTCGCCTCATCTGGCGCTGCAGCCTGGTTTGCTCTGTCGTACGTTCACTGCCTGTCGTTGTCTCCTTCTCTGCCTTGGGCGCCACAGGGTCTTCGGAGTCACTCTGCGTTCCGTCCTCGTGCCTATTGCCTGGAAACAAGGTACGTAGATTTGACTTTCATATCCTCAGTTGCTGTGGCCCTGTCATTGCCTCCCAGCTGAAATTTATCTTTTCAGTTAAAAGAAAAAAAATCCGATAGGATTAAATAACTCCAAAGACATCTGCTGTGGTACAGGGATTGCATCCCATCAGAGGAAAAAAAGAGAAAGTAGTTGTCTCCTGACCCCAATTTTCACAACTGCTTGGCTATCAAGTTATTAAAAACCAATTAACAAAATCATTTCAACCCCAAGGGTTTCTGATTTTGTAACAATGATTGTTTTAGATACTTGATGTTTTGTTTCTTTCTTTTTCCCATTTAAATAAAAATGATGACATTATTTTGCCACTCTGCCCAATCACTGTAGTCCAAGATCTCCTCATTAGGTTCTCTCTGTTATAGAGCAGAAATATCTCTGCAGGATCACTAAATAAACCCTGCATGCTGTATACCATGAAGCCAAATCCCCACGATGAAAGACCAGAGTGTTACAAGTGCATGCACCTCTGAGCACCCTCGTTACCCCACTCTACAAGGGCAAAACAAACTAGAGGCTAACAAAAAAGTTAATTTGCAGGATTCTTTACTTTTCCTGAAGATTTAGGAATCACACCATAACACCCCCGTGAGTTACATCACCCTATCACCAGCCAAGCAAAGGTTAAATCATTACTTAAGAGTTCACTAAGATTAAATAAGTTTATAATTATTTTCACTTATGTTAGTGACAACCATCTTTACAACCTTCTCTTTGTATCAGTGATGCTCTGCCCCTCAGCGCCTTAGTTCAGGACTCTCAGAAAGTAATTTAAACAAAAAGTTAAAAGTAAAACAAAAAACAAACCTTTTTTTGGAGAAGGAAACGGGTGTGAAGGCACACAACACGATTCAGTCAACGACCAGGAACCTGTCATCGGGAGAACGGGGAAAGAGGTCTCTGCGCTCTAGACTGTAATATGCAGCAAGATATACTGGCTAAAATACCACGTGTTTGAAAGGAAAACTGCTCAAACCTACTTTGCAAGTTCTCCAGACACATGGGTGAAGACCATTTATTACCTCGAGTTAGCTGTGAAAGATTAGAATTTAATACAAGATCCATTCAACCCAGGAGTCAGACCTCTGAAGAGTTTCCTAACATCCTCATGAAGGAAGCCAGCAAACTTTGCATTGTGCCCTGAGGGCTGATAAGCTTTGTCCTTGGAAGGAAAAGTTCTTAAATTAAAGGGTCTTGGCTAATAACTCTGCTGAATGCAAAACGGTGAGGACATAAGGAAAAACACCCACCGTGCCAGGGATGTCCCAGCAGAACACCATGCACATCCCCTCAAGCTGCTAAACCCTGAACTCTCTAGTCTTGATACCAGGCTTCACGTTCACCACATTGCTCCTGAAAGTGAACAAATGTTACTAATGAACCCTGACGGTGGGCGTCTCTGATCCTGAGGATCCAAACCTGGTAGGCAGCCAGCGGTAGCCTCCAAGACATGTTCAAAATTAGCCCTGCCAGAAGAACATGTTACACAGCTATCGCAGATAAATGACACCCTGTCTTCTGCCAAAGCAGAGGTGGATAAACTCCTCAGGCCACCAACACTGTATGTTTTAATCAAACGTCCAAAGAGTTGATTTCTTGATATGCATTAAATTACCTCAGCTTCTTTCCATGCCTTATGGACTGTAAAAAGGCAAGGGCAGTCAGCACACCACTCCCATGCATTGCTCAGGAAAGTCCTAGGATGAGCAGCAGCTGCCTACCTCTCTCGTTTTCTCCAAGAGAAAAGAGCAAAACTACTGAAGCACATTTGTATCCCTGACAATGTTCTCCAGCAAGTCAATAAAAACTAGTATCACAATAAGAAAAAAAAAACCTCAACCCAAACCTCAAAACCCTCTATCACACAGTCACAGTAGACCAAATCTAAGACCCTAAATAATCAGGCAGGGCACCTCAACACTGTCCCTTATTGGGAAGGACTAGAAACAAGCAATGACAACAAAACAGTTCAATTTCCATGCCATGCCAAACCTCAGGGCTGGATAGGTGAGACCATTTTGATCATAGGGGATTCTCAAAAAACTGTACACAAAACAGCAAGTTGGAGGTGTAACAAGTAAAACTCTTCTTATTATGAGGAGGATTTTTTCCCCAACAAGGACCACACAAAGACTCCTCTAAGGGAAAACAAGGTATTGCTCTTGTTTAAGAAGGATCTCAAGCACAAATAGGTCTGGTAACCTTCAATATGACTTCATCAGTTGAAGTTGCAGTTCAGAACAACAGCTTTTCCAGAAGCCCGCAAGGCAGTGAACATGCAGGAATCAGTGGTCCCCTTCTAGCTGTTCAGTGCATGTCCCAAGAGAGACATCCAAGCAAGCCCCAATCTTGCAAAATATATTCAAATTCACATGAGAATCATGTGAGTCCCACCAGGTGCACTAAGAACGGGGCTCCAAGCTACTATTCAGACCTTTGAAAATCCCCAAAGAATTCCTCATAGTGACACACTTAACAGGACACAGGTCCGCAAAACCTGAAGTTTTTTGAACAGAGCAGGATTTCAGAGAAGCTTTACTTTAAGAGAAGAAATGTTCTTCTACAAGCACAATTTCCTCCATTGGTGATCATGTGTATCTCAAATCTAATCACCAGTCTCCATGTCTTTGATGACCTTTGGTCATCTGACCAAGTGGCTCTTGTCACTACAGCCATGATGATCACACTCAGTCTCTTCTGGATTACAGCTAAAAAGAAACATCATTCCTTCAGCTAGGAGAAGCCAAGAGAAGAAAAACCACTGAAATACCTGTGTTTATCAGCCTGCCTGACAGCATGGAAATTATTTTAGACATTTAAAAATCAAAATCCTTTTTTCAATCACTGTTACTGCTGAGCTGGTGTTATAGATGTAGAGGAAACAGACTAGGGTGTCCCCAGGCCAGTATCACACATGACTAGCTCATGGCCAGGTGAAGAGCCTGCTAGCCAGATTCAAAACCATTAACAGTCTTTAAAAGAAATACTCTTCATCTTGCAAATCTGGAGCAGAGATAATTAAGTCCAGTTCTCCTTGACAGGAGAAGGGGTTTTCCCCTTTATTATGCTGCATTTGCATGGCCAACAGAACTATGTCCCCATGACAAGACATTCACTCACCTTTAAGCGTCCTCACATGAACCGGCAGGTCACTCTTTGTACTGTACACATCATCTCCTGGAGACTGCCGTCTCATCAAGCTTGGGTCATTCTGGACAAGCCAGTCAGCCACTTTGCTCTCCGCTGACATCACTTCTGTATGAGCTGGTTCCTTACTATATGGTCTTCTCTGTCTGAGCGAAAATTTAGTGACATGGTCTTTTATCTTTATTTTACCAGGGGTACCATCGTCAAATTCAATAGTGAAAGATGCATGACTCTGTACAACGGGGGCTACTACAGCATCAACATCCTTTGTTGGGATCTCATGGACCTGTGCTTCTGGAGATTTTGATGGCTGCTGAAATTCTTTAGTTGGAATCTCAAAGTAACTTGGCTCTCTCCGGAAGGCAAACACAGACTGTTCTTGGGCCTCTCTATAAGCAGAAATATTACCATTCAGTTCCTCTTCATGTTGGGTTATCTCTTTTGATCTTTCTACAAAAGGGGGGAAAAAACAGGCAATAAAATCTTAAATTCAGAAACATTAGCTGAAATGAATTAAAGAAAAAATACAAGTTCTGTTTCAGATAGCTTTGTACTCTGGCCTCATCACCGAAATCAGTGCTTACTGTACTGCTGTGGTCTGACCAACATTTGTTATATTCACTTTGTCCTTTCTTCCATTGCTCCTCAAAGACAGTGCTGAGCACACACATGCACAGTTGTATGTTTTGACAGAACCTATGTGGCTGATGGCATTTTAAGGTTTCTGTATGCCTGGGCTGATGTGAAAGGAAGATCCCGTTTCCCTTTGCTGAATTCACTTACATGCACACCTACTGAACTTTCCACAGCTCAAAGAAAAAACCTGAATGTGCAAAGCTAATCACAGGCATGATTTTGCTGGATCAACACCTAATTCTGTAACATCACCAAGGATAAAACCACATTTTTGCAATAGTACTTCTTGGCTAGAGGGTCACTTACTTATTTCAACCTCTTGGGAGGGCTGCTAGTCACAAACCCTCTCTACTACAGAACAGATACGCTACACGTGCGTTGAAATAAAACACTTCTTTGTGCAGTAAAGCATATGCTTGATAGAAACATCAAGTTTACTGCACAAGTGAAAAATTATGCATCTTCCATGCATACAGATCCACAACAGCAGGAGTGGTAAGACTAAACATCTCCAAAAGGTGATGAGGTGAGAAACAGATTGCTTCCACGTTAATCAAATCCAGTCAATGCATCAGGTCTTAAAGTGCCTCTTCGATAGGAAATTCCCAGGAGACACAGTGGATGGTTTATTTCAGGCGGGTTGTGTACAACCGCAGATACAGCACCGCTGAATAACTAGATCTCAGCCAGGCTTAGTGAGGCCTTTCTCATCCATCCCAAATTATTCCACAACTGCTATTTCTAATGTTCAAATATTTTAGTGGAAAGATTTTAATTTTCCCTTATTCTGGTTTCATCATTAGCAATCTACAGATATGAATGTGCAAGTACAAGCACCAAAAAAGTGGTAATTAAAGCCTTGAAGCCGGATGGCTTCACACAGTAAAGATCAAAAGTGTGCAGAAATTTTGTCATCCCCCCATCTTCTCCCACCCCAAATCACCTCCATTACCTGAGTAATGTTCCTCTTGCCTTCTGTCCTCCTTGTTATTGGCATCATCTTCCCCCCACCAGGAGGGCTGTCCATAAAGAGGGGTGCGGTAAGTATTGGTTTCTAGGAAGAGGATAAGCAAATACTTTGACACAGAAAATACCAATTTACCGGGTTCACAGAAGCCAGCCACACGTCAAAAAGGGAAAAACAGCAGGGTCAGATGAGATCATGTACCTGTTACAATGCAGTTATAACAGCAGCAAATTATACGTAATAATTAGTATGTTCAGGCTTCTCTTTTCTCTCCCTTTTTTTCTTTTTTACATTCTGCTGCACAATGCTGACTCCACCCCCCTTCACTGTCTTTCACAGTTGTTTCCTAAATACTGGCTTTTCTCCCTCTCTAGCCTCATTATTCACAGGAAGCTGAAGATTTTTGGCAGGACAAACTACAAAACACCAACCACAAAATTGTCTGCAACTCACCTGCAATTCAGGTGAGAATCGGGCTTTTGTCCTGATCCTAACCGGGAAGACTTTAGCTCTGCCCTTTCTTGCCCCACCATGTACTCAGATGTTGTGAGGCCAGGGATTTTTTCAAACTATTCACCACTCCCACTCTTAAGTGACACACATCCCACAACAGGAAATTCTTGAAGCGTTACAAATTTAGGGAAAACGGTAAGACCGTCTCCTTACACTATGTAAAGAAGTAAACTCTTGCTTTCTAAAGCTTAAAGTAAACCAAGTGGATTCCAGAGTCACTGCAGGACAGAGGTTTTTCTCATGGAGAAGCTTCCTCTAGAAGAGACAAACTTCTATCGTTTTCTCTGGTCAGTAAGCACTCAGTGGAAGATCAGGACTTCACTGCAACAACTGGTACCCAAAGGAGCTGATCCACTGCTTCTCGTTTTGTCTCCCACAAAATAAGATTGTGTTTTGGCAGTGCCTTGGGCTGCTACTGTTTATGCAACAAGTAAAAAGAATACACCTCAATTTAGCTGTGGTATAGTTATTATTATTATTATGATGTTTTTATAATAGTTTAAGAGAAGCAAATAAAGTAGCTTTTGTTCTTTCATCTAGAGGTGATAGAGACACAAGGATAGGTCAGGGGATGAGGTTAAGCTCCAGCTTTGTTCGCTGCTTCTGCCTCTACCCGTAAGAGCCATCAGCACGCGCTTTACCTGCCATGTCTTAAACCCTGGCTCCAGCTACAGAGCAGAAGCTGGGCTTCTATCGCCAGCTGCTGCTCGCTCAGCTTGTGGTTTTAAAGCTACACACTGCTCTGCATAAAGCAGCCCTCAAACAGCCGTGCAATTTTGCATTCCCTACTTTAATACAGACATGACAGAAAATACTCATCAGCATAAGGGAAGTTAGGAGAGGAAGGGGAATTAAATAATTCAAAGAAAAAAAGGTTAGATTTTATGCTGCTGTTTCTAAAGCTACACAGACCCAATGACCACTACTTCAGATGTTTTTTTTTTCTAGAATAGTTCCAGACATATATAAGCTCATACATTGACAGTCCACAGGCAAAAATTTTGCTTTACAGATGCAGCCTACAGGCCCTTTTCAAGAGATCTTCGTGTTTCAAAATCAACCACGCTGCCTCCCTTCACACTGAGGATCAAAAGAGGCTGAAAGTATTACTCTCCTTTCTGCCTAGAGTGCGTGGAAGATAAACTGTGTTCCCATTATGTAGGCGGCCTTTGAAAGTTCAAAGGAGGAAGCATTTCTCACCATGAATAAATTGGAACTGCCGAGCTATATGTTTCATAACTGAGGATGGGTAAAACACTCAAGGGTGAGGGGAAGGAAAAAAAAAAAAAAAAAAAAAAAGAGAAAAAACCTATTCACAAGCTTGTCAACCAACAGAGGCACCCAGATGTAGTGTTTGGTCTCCGCTAGACTGAGACCTTCTGTCACACAGCCTAGCAGAAACCTACCACCCTCTCTTCACGCTGTGACTTGCCCGCTGGACCCCAACCATGCGGGATCTGCTCTACCAATGTTCTTTTGGGCACATACTGCAATGGATTATCACGGTCTCAAGTCAGTATTGATCTTAGGGTTGATGGCCAAGAGGCAGTCAGGGCTGGCAGGAGAACAATACTTTGCGTGATGGGCAAATCCATTAACAACAGCCAGCTATGTCTAGGGTAACTCGTGCCTAAAGGTCAACGGGGCACAGTGCAGGGCTCAACCCTGAAGAAACACAGATTTTGGATATTTGTCTCAAATTTATAAAATCAATTATGAAAGCTCATCAGTGGCTTATTTAAAATTGCTGGAGGAACATATACTGAGCGCACTACCCTACAGATTAAATGCAAAGACCTTCTTGCACCCAACTCTTACACAAGCAGCATCTTTCCCAAGCATGGGTGCTGTTATGGCTTGCACCTTGCAAGGAGTTGCCTCATTACAGCTTGTCTCTCCAGCACATCCCAGCCTCTCACAAGATCTCAAAAGCCCCCTAGTCTAGAAGGTTCTAGTTACCTGTTCCAAGAAAATTTTGTTTCCAAAGGGGCAGAAGTGAGCTGAGAGAGCTCACTTCCATCCTGCAGGACAGACTTTTTCCCAGAAGGTGCTCCAGCCCCAAGATCTGTGTCCCACCTGCATGTTGAACACAGGAGCTACTGCCTTTGACCCCCACGAGCTTTTCTACTACAGGGAAAAGGCAGCTAGAGGAGCAAGTCAACCTTGGTCAGGCTTTTTCTGCTGATGGGGAACCTTGGGATTGTAAGGGAAGCTGAAGGAAAAGAGGATTTATACAGAAAAATAAGCCAGCTCCTCTGCCTTCTCAAATTTGCCCCTCTACCCTAATGAGCCCTAATAGGTGCTTCGAAATTCCCCAAATTCCCCCTCTGACAAAAGCTAGCACTGAGCCAAAACCCCAGGGCTCGAGGAGCATCTACAGTGAGTGCATCAGGCTGGGCAGAGTGCACAGACCCGGGGCAACCAGTGTGGAAGCCACTCCGTTGCATTCACTGCATGGCGGCAGAAGGTCCCTCCTGCCCCATGACAGAGCTCACACAGGCCCACCTGCAACGCTGCGGTACAGCTACAGCGTGGGTAACACATCTGCTCACTTCTGTGGGGCGCTTTTTGTTTTGGGGTTTTTTTTTATTTTATTTATTCCTTCCCTCTCCCGGCCTCCACAATAAACTGGAACTTCATTTTAAAGACTGCAAAAAGCACAGAGGGGAAGCCGAGGAGTCAGTGTCTTGCTATTTGGGGACAGTTTCAATATTTTAAGAGCAATTAATGTTTCCACTGAGCCTTCATATTAATTTGCATTTTGAATAAAATTATCAAGTGACACAGACACCCTGATTCTCAGCTACTGCTGCTAGCGGCCAGATCCTAAGCCTGAATAAAATTTCCCTGACTTCAGAAGAGCTACATAAATTTGCTACCCTGCTCATGTCAGAAGACTCTGTCCCTTCTAATTTGCCAGCACAACCGACCCGACGCCTCTACCCACTCCCCCACTCCAGCTCTAACACAACAATATTGTATAAAAAGGGGTGGGGGGGAAAAAAGCACGATAGGAAAGCAGCTAAACCAGATGGCTGTGACAGAAGCAGGCCAGGGAGCAGCTACATATGCAGTTGTGCCAGGGGGCTTTGCTCCTCACCAGCTGGGATGCATTTTATGTAGCGACCCCAACCTGGACCTGCAGCACCCAAAGCAGTGCGTCTGCCTGTGTCCCGAGACACACACACCACCCTGAAGCCACTGCCTATCTATTACATTTTAGTGTAAGATGGAAGCTCTTGCAAGGGCAGAGAGACTCAGGGCTTGCCAGAGGCAGCGGTGAAGCAAGGAACACCAATGAAAACTAACTGCTCAGCCGCTTAAACGACATGAGACTTCCTCCAATTGATGGCAGCTCGTTACCACCTCTCTCCACTCCCTGCCAGGCTGCCCAGATGGTGCCAATTCATTTAGACATATTTCTTGGCTCATCAATTCAGGCAGACAGCCCAAAAACCACCCTTTTAGATAACTGAATTGAGGTCAGCACGGGCACTCAGCCAGATAAACACTGAGCTATCTGTGACGGTGTAATACAAGGAAGACCACTGACATGCACATGTTCTGCTCCTGGATTTCAGTCTTTGGGGCAGTCACTCAAAAGAAAAAATGAAGGCTATTTTAGCGCAAGAACAAGGAAGGTCCATTTGTTTAACAAGTCTGACAACGACGTGGCCAGTTAAATTAATAATGAACTATTGATCACCTGAAGGAGAGGCACCACAACAAAACAAAGTGAGACATGTCAATACAAAGGATGACTTGGTGGAGAAGTGAATCAGACAGAACGCCACAAGAGCAAGACCAAAAATACAGTCCAAGTGATGAAAGGGAAAGGAGAAAGCCTACATTAATGCTGCTTTCTATCAGCAAGTGGTCAGAAGAGCTTTCACAACAAGCATGCAGCTCCCACTGCAGAGGGGTCTGATTTCCCTTGAAGGTGGCCCCTGTGGTCAGGACAGGACTGAGGGCTGCGCTTCGCCCAGGTCCTCACAAAGCTTCAAACCATCATGAGAGAGACAGACAGCAACGGCAAATTTCTTTGCTGACAGAAGCACATGCAGCTTTGAAGCTGTCTACAGCAAGTCATAACAAAAGCATGAGAAATCCAGCTTGCTTTAAGTCAAATAGGTTTTGATTCATTATTAATAACAATAATGTCCATCTTCAGAAGATGCAGAGTAGGCTTCTTACAGCAGAGGCCTTGGGGGGAAAAAAGATGATCTAGCTATAACATTTTAGAATTAATTCCTTACATCTCTGCTTTTTAACTCCTTTCCAAAATAGAGAATTCAGACCTAGTAGGAATAACCATAAAGCAATTCTCTCTTTGCTGCAGTATTTATTTCACATGTGCCTAGCAAACCTAAGCCCTGGTCTGTTGTACATGCTGTGAACATACACAGATCCCAGAGGCTTTCAAATCAGGCTGATAATCACAAATTTATTTGTAACAATTATACGGTCAAACCTTTAACATGCTGCAGATACCACCACCCTAGCTCAGACGAAAAGCAGATACACCACAACCACCACCACTCCCCTAAATTAAAGGCTACGGCAGAGCTGTGTGTCTAAATAGCTATTACCATGATCTCATGGGGAAAGCAGCCAAAGACCATGGAAACCACTCCACAACCGGGCACAACTCCCACTGCCTCCGTCCACACTGCCTGCTGACCTCAGCCCTGGACACCAACAAGACTTTCAAGTCGGCCACTCTGTTGACAGGACTCCCTAATGACGCGGACGCCAAACTGATGAGAAAGCCTATTTCATAAATCCCAGGAGAAGCTCAAGTCCTACTCCTGCAGCCGGTGATGTCCATTTCAGCTGGACGCTGTGGGCAGCCTCCACCTCTGGAAACTCAGGCCTGCAGCAGTTATTCAGAAGTTAGTCATCAGATTCAGCACTATCTAGTGCCATCAGCTTGTGAGGGCTTTAAAAAAAATAAATAAATTAAGATCAGCCCGAGGATTAACTATGTATTGAGAACAGAAGACCACAAAGTGGCTTATCTCATCCAGTACCTCAACTCAGGTAGCAACAGATGGGGATTGTGACAGTCTTACCTGGCCTCCTGATCATTTAAGGCTTTAAACGTGAGAGCTGATGGCTATTTTTAGCATCAGCTAGCTGAACTGTGGGCACTTTTCTTATTCATATCCATATCCAGCCCACAGGGCTTACCAAACTCCTCGCCTCAATCGTTTCAAAGAGACTGATGATTTTCTGCTTACAGGCAACATACACCCAAAAGCTGCAAGTTCAACAGCATAAAGACTAAACGGCTGAGCTGTTTCCCATTCACTCTGCTGGATCTCTTTATCCTCAGCCCCTCACCTCCTCCCAATTCTAAGCAGCTCTAATTGTTCACATTGTTTTGTTAAACCTCTTTCCTGAAAGCTTGCATTCCCTTTGCCTCTTTTCCACCCGGGCCCTGGGAAGCGATCCTTCCAAAGGCTTTTGTCACCCCAGACCTTGCTTTAATTAGTCAATGCAAATTCCTAAATACCTATGGGCTTAGCAGAACAGCTCTCTCCCCAAAGCCTCTTTCTGCTGCTACTAAGCAAGCCCACTCCCTGTAAGAATACTACATTCTTCTTTCCACTAATCATTTTAAATTGCTGCCACTCCTCCGAGAAACCAAGGAGAAACTGCATGTGTGCAGCTGAAGACAAGGTGAATTAGTCACATCGCAGATGAAAAAGGCACCCACTGATCATTCTGCTCACGTGACAGAGATGCTTTTTGGAGAGCGAGACGCTGATTTAATGCTCAGACTCCCTCTCTTGCTTCCACAGGCTTCAGTCCAACACAGCAAAATCCCTCCAACAAAAAGTCCTGAATTCCTCCATCTTTCAGTGGGGTTAGGGGCACCTCACACTTTGTTTTTTTATATCTGTCCATCAGTCCCACTGCACCTGACATACTTCATCACTGGCCCCAAATAAGTACTCACAGCCCTTTTTGCCTTAGACCTACGGCCTTGCCTGTTAACGATGACAGAAACGTAATGCAGGTCTGCGAACCACACGATAGAGAAATGGGTCACCTTGCTGAAGAGTCACTCAACATTCTGACTTTGAAGATGTTCCAAATACCAACCGCTTACACTATGTAGGTTAAAACCAACCAAGGTGTATTTTGGAAGGTGGCAAGAATAAAAATGAGAATGTTCATGCAATCAGGCAGCAAACACAAACTGGTTCCAGTTACCAGCAGTGCTTTTCAAGAACCCCACGCCCCTTGCAATGCAGCTGGAGAGCTCTACCCCCAGTGAGGTTCACCTCTTCTCACCCTCTGCGGTGTCATGTTTAATTATCACCAACTTCATCCCTTTAACTGCACGTTTGTGAGGCAAAGTCACAAATACCACATCCATGGGGGAGGGCAACACGCAGACGCAGCTAAAGCAATACAAAGAAAGGTTTTGCAGTGCAGAAAATAGGAGTTGGGCACACGGGTGCATGTGTGTGTGCTTCCACGCACAGCTGCAGGCAACAACGAGACCAGGGAGAAAAACTACACTGTTTTAGTACACTGTGTCAGCTTAGAGGGATTTTCATAAAGACAATACATGGGAGATTAAGGTCAGTCAACCCACTCCAATTAGTTATCAGGAAACCTTAACAGATTTACCCAGAGTTGTACACGCTTCTAGAAAGCTGCTGTACGTATCTCTAGGTCACCTCGCCCAAGATGCTCTCTCACTCTTTTTACTTGCCCATCCTCTTCCTTCCAACCACCTCCCTGCTGCTTCCTCCAACAGACCCAGTAGGCAGTCTCTCTGCTAACCCTAAAGCTTTCCAGCTGCTCTGCCATCCTGGTACCACAAGACCATCGCATCACCGGGATGCTTTAAAACCGTATTTATTCCTCCCATGCATCATCAAGCTCTAGAAGGCAACCAACTGATATCCAAGCAGAACTGGGGAGGAACCTGCCAGGGCAGTACATACAAGAGGTAGGAAGCTGGGTGAGATAGGTGAGACAAGACTGCTAGGGAGGTCTTGGCCCGTCATGGTGGGGAATGGGGAGGAGGCAAGTTTAACAAAGGGTCTTTAAAGGAAGGCAGCAGTGGGTAAAGAAATGGAGAACAGAAGGACTTTTCAAATGGAAAAGGTTTGGAGCTGGGGAACAGTGAACCTGAAGCAAATGTCTCCCAGTTTGGCAGTCAGTTTCAATCCCACGTATTGGCACATCAGGAAATACAACCCTTTAAGACCATACAGGGCTTTTTGAAAGAAATGGCTCGTTGCTTTTTTGCCTGCCTGCCTGCCAGCACCACACCACAGCAGCCATACATTTTCTACTCTGAGTCACCGTCTCTGTTCAAACACCAGCTTATGATTAGGAAATTAAAAATAGACCATACAGGTGCCAAAGAACTTCCCAAACCTGCTCAGCCTACAGGTTCTCCAGCACACACATAGCGACAAGGCATGTGTAACCCACTCTGCCAGCTGATTTTTTTTTATTTTTTTTTTTTTTTTTGAGTCTGAATCTCCAAAACCCAAGAGTCTGGAATACCTAGAGGTTTAGAAAGATGACTCTTCTGGAACTGCTCCTAGACACAGCCCACAACACTGTACTGTCAGAATCCTGACCCAGCGCAGGGCTCAAGCTGCACTTTGTTCTGAATCTTGATTAACTGGTTCCCAAGCCAGTACCTGTAATTGCTTTCCTCTCTCCTTTCTCCAGCTTTGCTTGCGGGGACTCAGCGTAGACACCGTGCTCCATGGGCTGCTCCGCCCTCTTCATTGGCGTACCTTTGTAATTCATCTGAAGTTGGCTGGTGTACTTCTCATGCTGCAGAGACACAAAGACCAGTTGCAGGGTGCCCGTTCGATCCGTGTGCCAGCCCGTGGAAAAGATAGACCACCCTTCCCCACAAACAGATCACGCAAAGGCAAATACTGCAGCTATGCTCTGCAACAAAATGAAAGCACACCTGAGTAGAGGCTACAGAACAGCAGAAATGCCAGCTGAGAGGCTTTCAAATACCCCATTTGGAAGATATCACGTGACAATTGTAGTCCATGAGAAGGTCACTGTGACTTAGCTCTGCAAAATAGCTAATTAGGAAACCCTTTAAAGAATAAACTAAGAAGAATCAGAACTTAGGCCGTTTTCCATTCAAGATTCAAACCCTGAAATCCCCTTTGTTCTTAAAGCAATATTATAAATTCTTTCAAGGCGCTCATCTGCGTTATCTCAGTTTTTCAGCAAAGGCAATTAAAATATATTTTAATTATTTATTTCCAAACCCTCTCTCCAGCTAGAAAAGTGATTCTGCCTTCAAACACGCTCCACGTTAACATAGTAAATGAGCTATTTAAAAGTCAGTTTATAACAAGTAAATTAATAATAGGGTATACCCATCCAGATTACCCCTGAGTAAGTTCAATGAATCATTTGCCCAATTCTAGCTGTTACATTTCCGATCCTCTCAAAGTCCTAAACATGGAACAAGGGCGAAGAAGACAGTATCTGCTAGCCAAGAGGTGATGCTTAGCACTGATAGCCCAGTCCCTAGCTGAACATGACAGCTTTCTTGCCTAGAGGGGGTTGCTTTTCTGCCTTAGATAAAAGGATGCTTGAATATTTCGTACCTGTTACTGAACTCTTTGTTTAAAAAACACCTCACTCATAAGAGGACTGCTCAGTAAGCAAAAATTGGGAGCTTGAAGGCAAAAATGAGATGATATACAGGAATAAATTAAGCAAACTTTAGCCTGCTGGAAGAAGTGACATAGTGCTGGCCTAAGTCACCATGCTCAGAAAAAGTCACCTGCGCTCCACTTCGGTGAGGGAACAAGTTCTGCTGTGCTTCACCCACAAGTTAATGTGCTGACTGTTCTTTAATATATTACACCTCTAGTAACCTTTTTTGTTGGCAGTCATGAAATGATAAATAATTTCATCTACATGTTAGCACAGGGATAAGAGAGATCAGAGCTGAGATAACTGGGAAATGCCTCTCTCCTCAAAGCAAGGTTTTATTAAGCCCCAATCCAAGGAGACCCTCGTGTTGCGGAACATTTCATTGCTGTCAAGAGTATTTTAATATTTCAGTCTGGTTGACCATTACTAGAGCACTTTAAAAAAAAAAAAAATCTAAAAATGCACCTACACCCAGACACCCTTACCTTTAATGCTTCTTCTGGGACTTTGTGTTGAATTTGTTCCAGAACATACATATTCGAATGTACAGTGCTCGTTAAGGAAATTGCAAAGGAACTGGATGGACAGAGAAATCTAGCACTTAGTCACAGAAAGAAAACAAGATCATAAAACCAAAGCAGCTTAAAATATGCAGGGTATTAAAAGTTGACTGCACTGTATCCCACCATGGTCTTTGTCATGCATGTTTTGCAAGAGTGTACCATCCCATCTGCTGGCCAGACCCATGCCAACTGACGGGCAGCAGACAAGGGGAGCAGGGCAGGAGAAGCTTGGGGGAGCACTAGCAGCTCCGTGCAGGACTCGGGGGAGTAACCAGAGCCCTGACTCAACTCACACCCCTCTCCTCTCCACCCAGCTGGCAGCTCCAAGCAGACCATTCTCTCCTCATGGTATCCTGGCCAAGATGGGACAAGGAAACAGTAGAGTTCAGCTCCCTGTAGGGACGTCTGGGACTATGGTGCTCGCTTGTCCTGACAAGGCCTTTCAGCCACTGCAGTTTCCTGGATGAAAAGTAAATCAGGTCATGAGCTGCCGTGACCTCCTAGGAAGGGAGGCGTTCAACATGGTTGAGCCTGGGCAATAATCCTCAGCAACGCCACATAAAAAAAAAAAAAAAAAAAAAAAAAGGAAGCATCTGGCAATGTCATCATGAACAATCCAATCAGCACAGCACAGAGCAAAGGGGAGGAAAAAGGAAAGATGGAAAATGTTAGACTAAAAATAAACCAAGTGATACTGGCATAGCAGGGAATCTCTGCACAGTCTGCAAGTGAAACTGTAAATGGAAGAGACACAAACGCTCTTATGCAAGAGTGCATAGCTGACTCGGAGACCTCAGGAGATGCTGCCATCCACACCGAGCTGAACGGGGTACGCACAGAAAGCACTGCTAAAGAGAGTGGCACTGAAGCAATGAAGGAGAGGAAGAGATTGTAACTGCCATAGCAACTACGCTGAAGTAAAAAGATGACTCTAAAACCTACATTCTTTAAAGTTTTCCTGTTGAGGGCAATAAATTCTACAATTCATAAATGCAATCATTCATTTCACATGAATATCCATGTAAGGGCTGCAGGACTAAACACTTCAACGCGGCTGCTTAGTGCTCAGAATTGCTTTCTATAAAAAGTTTAAACCTGTATCGCAGCCATTAAAACCTACCCACGCTGTAGGCACTGGCTGATGTCTTCACTAGACTGCAGCTCACGGCAAAGCTTCAACGAGTTCCCTCACACATCCAGAGACCAGAAGACACATGACCAGATACATGAAAAAAATATTTGCAAAGTCAAGAAACGCTAGAACTGAGGTTGCCTATGGGACTGTAACAGGCTTCATCATGTGTGCAGTGAGAAGCCACCTTTAATGACACGATCCCACATGACAGTGCTCTTTTACTGGGCAGCACTCAGTAAGGGGCTACTCAGTACTTTTCGCCCTCCATGTATGCCTGAACCCTCATCAACTGCAGCTTGTTCAAATACTGATCTGAAGGCAAATAATTTTTCTTTTTTTTAAAAAAAAAAAAAAAAACAGATTCAGTAACTACCTCCCTTAAAAAAAAAAAAAGGAATACCACTGTGAAGCAAGAATTTGTTATTTCTAAAATGGCAAGAGACAAAGCAAGACCAAGACCAAAAGTATGATCTTACCACAAGGCCTAGAAAACTGTCTTTTTCAGCAGATCCAGGATTGCACACACATCAGTTTAAGCATCCCTGTTACAACAGTGAGTGCTCCTGCACTGTCACTGCCTAGAGCCGAGGTACCCAGATCCCTGGAAGACCAGGGAGGCTCAGCCTCTCCTCACCGCTTCAGCTCGCTCGGCTCCAGCAAGGTTTGGAGCATTTCAAGGGCTACAGCATGGCCATGCACAAACTGATTATCATGGGGACAACGAAAAGCACAAGAGTGTGGCCTTGGGGTCAAGGACGCATGAGAGTTTTCCAGCCACACACTTCCTCCCCTTGCAATGGTGAAACATAGTCTCTGCCTCTATTCTCAGAAATGTCTGGACTGTTTTAACTGAAATTTCCGCCCAAAAATAAACCGGGAGACAACACTTGCTACTTCTAAATTCAGCGTGAGTGAGTAAAGTTTGGCAGATAGAAGCAACCAAAAAAAACCAAAACAAAACAAAACCAAACTTAGATTACATTAAAAGGCAGCAATAGGAGCATCTACTTACCACTGTTGCTCTGCAGGGTCAGAAGGGCATTCCAACATCTACACTTATAGCCAGTCATACACTCAAATCAGGATAAAAAGGAAAGGGATGAAGGCAAAGGTGTTTTAGCAGACACTAGCAGGATTTGCGACTCTGTAAACAAAGCAGTAACTGCAGCCCAGCCTCCCTCAACAGAGGTGAAATTTGCTCTTGCTAAAGAAAGATTTACTCTTGCATTTTGTGGCAGAAGCAATTTGCACAGGCAAACTTCAATCGATTCAGAGTCACGGGTCTGACCACAAGCCCCAAAGCTAAACGTTTAAGGCTGAAGACCTGCAAATTGTCTGAAGAGGCACCTCCAAAGTCACTACCCTCCACAGTCACTACTGCCAGTGCAGGGCCTGATTCAAATTCCAAAGAAGGTAGCATGCATCATGATTAATATGCTCTGAATCAGGTCCATGGTGAAGAAACAAAAGTTTGAGCCATCCAAAGGCTCCAGAGGCAAAACAAACACCCTTATTCGTTAGTCACAATTAGCACTGTTAACTCCCCACGCAGCCAACAGCACAATGCCCAATCAAAGACCACATCCCACTCCCTCTTCAGACAAGAAGGATATCATAGCCAAAGCGAATGACATCATTCAGTTTTAGGGTGATGTATTTCTGGTCAGGAATCCTCACGTCATTGACGAACGTCTGCAGGAAAGAAGCACAGGAATGGTTTTTGACTTGAGGGTATCAAGGTGATGCATCTCAGATGGACAGGGCTCCTGGAGGGCACCCATGCCCGTCTGTCAATGGCACTGAATACGTTCAGGGTGCACTTGCACAAAGTCAGCCAGGTGAGGAGCTAAGTTGCCTAGAAAAATCAACACCAGCAAGTAGCTCCCATGGGCAAGTTAGAGCACCCCAATTATGCTTCAAAGCAAGATGCTCTGAAGGGACCTCTAGGGAGATTGACCTTTCCACCAACTGCAAATGAAATTTTAGTCCCCGACGTGAACACGGAAATGATGTGCCTGAAGTTAGGAACTTCAGATACTCTCAGTTTTCCTCCACCCTTCACAATCAGCAGGCGCAGCAAATGGTGCAACTCATACTCTAATTACTGAGCTGGGCATCAGCTTTCCACTGGATATCAACCAAGACTGGTGTCAGCCCCAAGGCCTGATAATTTAACAAGCAAAACCTGTCACAGAGGAAGGGGGAAATGAAAATGCACAAGAAAACAAGCATTTGCAGTGGCATCACCATGATGTCTGAGGCCACGTTGTCCAAGACACCATGTATCAGTACAACAGGCCCCTCACACAAAAGATTTGCGTACTCATTTTTCCTATGTTCTAGGCAGTTAATTGAGGCCCAAAGAAACAAAGTTATCTTTATAAACGTGCAAGAAATCTACTTCATAGCTGTGAACAAACATCTCAGATTTCTCAGATGCCTGCTTTCCAAGGGGAGCCCCTAAGGAATAATTCTCCCAGAACAATGGAGAAACAAATCAAGTACTCATGGACATCTTTCACAAATAAACCCATGTAGTTTTGTAATAACCTGGGCCAAATAAAACTAAATCAGGAACTCGGCTGAAGAAGCACCAGCATGCCGATGGGGATTAGACACTCGGTTGCACCCGGGGCAGTCACAGACACCAGGAGTTACCCTACCTCGCAAGGTGGGATTCACCCAGCCTCACAGACCAGGAACCCACTGCTGGGTCTTTGTAGCCTCAATACAAATGCAGCTACGCTCTGATGAATCACAATTATGCTAGAAAATGAATTTACATGCTTTCACCACTGAGGCACAGCCTTCTCCTTCTGCTTTCCTACTTCAGCCAAGCTAAACATGCATGATAAGACCAAGTATTAACCACAGAGGAAAAATAAATGCTAGAGCAGGAAACTAGAACCTCAGCAGACAACAGCCCCCAGCTTCCTTGCAATCTACAGAAGAGCCGGGGAAGAGGCCTGTAATTTCAGAATAAAAGCAGTAAAGCTGGTTAAAAGGCACAAATTCCTATTTGCATGATTTTTTTTTTATATTTAAAAATCCCACAACAATCAGATCTGAAACAGGAATAACTATTTGCCGAATTTTCTGCAAAACAAAAGTCTGCAAGAAGACCCATTTTGATGTTGTTACCTATTTGTCCATGGTTACTTCAAATAAAATAACTCAAGAAACTGCTTATTGCAGATAGAAATGCTACTTTCAAAACCAAAATAGTGACTGCAGAATCAGCTGAACATTATAATAAAAACAATACAAAACTTTTGGACAATGAATATGAACCAGGTTATCCAACAAAGCTTGTAATTAATGCATTGTTGACAAACTATAAAGCAAACATAAAATAAAAGCAAATTTTGAAAATGGAATTACATTCAAAGTCCTCAAAAGTTATTTCTTTAGTTTCAGGGGGGGGCAAACAACTTTTCATGAAAGTTTTCAAAACAGGACCTGTTTCTTTCATGCAAAATAAATTCAGTTTGGCCACAACAGTCTTCTCCAACAGACATGTGTTTGACCAGCTGCAGAAGACAAGCACTGCTATAACTCCTTTCACTCCATTGCCCCTTTGAGCACAAGTCTATTATTAAAATATTGTAAATTCATACACTTTAGCATGTGAAGATAGAAGATCAGAATTTTCAGCTGCTATTTTGCTACCATGAGTTAAATACCACAGGTTTTGAACCAGGGATACAGCTAGAGCCCAGACCAGTTACTGGAAACAGTCCCATTTCAGCATGGCTTCTGTGCCTTCAGCTACTAGGCTGAGAAGGATTAACACTCATTCTCACTGTTTTCAGATGTCAGAAGAGGCAGAACAGTTGAGGTCTGCTTTAGCCACTGTTTTTGTCTAAGTTTCTGGGTTCATCTTGTGGTTTTATGGTTGTGATGGTGGGGGGCTTCTGTTTCTAAGCCCAGAACAATGACTGCAATAAAACCCCTACTGGGAAGACAATTACATGAATCTAGCTTAGACCTTCTCCAGAAGAGGAATAGCTCTGCTGGTATGAAGAAACAGCCAAAAAAGAGGCATGCTACGATATTAGGACAGTTTTAACTAAGATGGTGTATTTTAAAATCATAGATTTCAGGTGGGCAGACAAAGCCCTCACTGAGCTGCCTAAGACCACTGTGTCAATCAGGACCAGAGCAAGGGTTAAGATTCAGGCAGGCTCAGCTCCCTGTTCTGGGCTCACATTATCCCTCCGTCTTCACACAAACCAGGCTCAAGGCAGGCAAAAGAGCAATTTTTTATTATAAAAAAGAGGTGGTTTTAAATAGTTTCTCCCCAAAGAAATTAAATGTCTCGTCATCCCATAAATCACTCTATGCACTGACAACTGAATTACCAAAAGGTCAGCCTGCTCATGCTGAACAGCTGCTCCACAATCTTCACCAGTTTAATATTAACATCCCCAAAATAAGACTCAATTTATTTCCTCCTCTTTTGCAAAAGGCTCTATGATTTTGTGAGCCCTGAAGCATTCTGCAAGGACACCAGAAGAGAGGGAAAAAGAAATACAATATTCACCAAAGCTTTCCTCTTCGAAGCTCTTCTTTTCCTACATGACCTCCATCTCAGGCCTTGCAAATAATTATGTATGTTTAGCTTAACTCATGGCAACAGTTGCAATGACCCAAAAGGGTCTAACAGTAGAATTAAGCAAGTGCTTGCAGACTCAGCATGCCGCATGTTCGCCTCCATCAGCCAGGAGGTTTGCTACTTACTCCATTTAAGCTCCCGAGATCCTTCACCCAGTGCTCATCTTTCTCCTTGTCATAGTTGATTACAGCATGCTGCTTATCAACACTGCGGGACTGGCAATGAAAGCACAATGAACATGAGACCGGTCAGGCATAAGGGACATTGTTAATCAAAGCAACATTTAGACATTACACTAACTTGATATGGAGCAGAGGGAGAGAGGGGGAAAAGCAGGGATGATTAAATATTATTTACTACTATAAATAACCAAAGGATAAACAGTGAACACTTCCATGGTTGTTCAAACACTTCACTGAAGACAATACACTATTTGCATGGAGAGTGAAAATAAATAAATAAATCACTGAAGGCTGTCAAGACTACTCCGTAATTTCAATAAATTATATCAATACACACTGAAAACAAAACCAGTACAACTGAAAGCCTGTGGGGTAGGATCTCAGGCAGTGCGAACTAGAAGAGCTCCAGCTGAAGCTGTTGGCCTCATCCCTAGGAACTTCCTATTTGGGATGATTTCCTATTTTTCAAAGGGAAAAAAAAAAACCATTTTCTTAAGTTACAAACCAAACTTACTCATAACAATGTATACCGTTCCCAGGATTATGTCCTGGAGTTGATTTAAACTCTGGGATGTTTTCCAAGTTGGAGGGAGGTTAGTAAACTTGGGATGAGAAAGAAAGCAACTCTGGGAAAATTCAAATTTAAAGTTACGTTTGAGAACACTGAACTGGACAGTGATTTGTTGCCACTGGCTTTGCCACAATGCACAAGTACCAAATGCACCTTATCTTAAACAGAGTATGACAGGAACAGCAGGGATAGTGTCAGACTTCTGAGGAAGAAGAGTTAGAACAAAATCTCTGAATAATTTTGAAATATGTTGTTACAACTATAAAGACACCGGACTGTCTGTATTTAGACCTAATGCCTCTCGTAACTTGAATTCTTGCCGCAGTTGACCTCAACCAGTCACTGGAACCAGTCACTCCTTCAGCACGCACACACGAGACTGAGACCTCCCTGGTATCTCGGGCCAGGGGAGGGTAGGACAGGCTACCAGAGCAGGGAGACAAGCCAGGCTCTAAGTCAGCTAATTCTCCTCTTCCTGGGAAACAACCAACAAGTTCTTGGTAAAAAGTCCTTCCCTTTTCCCAAGTATAAACATGCTGGCTTCCACAGCACCACTCTCAGCAAGCCGTTCGCTACTTCCTTGTAAGCATGCAGAGGCAAAGATTGTTTCAGGGGAATTCCTTGGTGAAAACACAGAAGCTTTTTCCAGACAAACTGCTCCCATTTGCAGGAATTTCTTCTGCCCCTGCCAATGTCAAGCACACTGGTGATATCCCAACAGCTGATAAATGGCACCTCCTCCCCCTGCAGAGCATATGTCAGCCCAGGAGACCTGTCCTCCAGAATAACCCTGAAGTACCAATATGAAGTAAGCACATACTTGGCCAGAAGACTGCCCTTCCACCTTCCAACATCCCTCACACTATTCATGACATGCCACCAGAAGCACAGGCAGTGAGGAGAGGGGCAGGTGATTCCAAGCCTCCAGCTGCCTCACTAATACAGTTATCCATACACTGCTGAACTTACAAGGTGTCAGCTCTCCGAGTCCCAGCTGAAAAACGGGACGGCACTTGATGCTTTGCTGCCCAGTTGGTGATGCTCGAACAGCAATTGCTCCCCAAAGAAACAAACAACAACTGGAGGGAAAGGCAGACAACATGTTCAGGGACACCCCACTCGTATCTCCTGCTACACCGAGCCCTAAACACTGGAAACGAAGCACAGCAATGCCCTGCCAGGAGGGGCACACGCAAATCTCTTGCCCACATGCAATCTCCGCAACTGCTGTCTGACCCCGACCTCAAGGTAGGGCAGGTCTTAAGCATTTACAGTGTGAAGCTGCTGCTTCTCTCTGTTATTATTCACATTAGATGAATAATCTAATTATTTATGATTCTTTAATCAGTCCAATTTGCAATCGCCCAAGTGGCTGTGGCAGGTATGTGCAGCGTAAGGTAAGGATGGTCGAGGGATGCTGCCCAGGACCTGCACCTCGGCACACAGCCCTGAGGATGGAACATCTCCAGCCGCAGCATCGCATATCACAGCAGCAGATGCCACACAAGCTGGGGTTGTACCCAACCTGCCGCGTGGTCCCTCACACCCTTCAGGAGGATGCGAGAGGGTCTCCTTCCACCACCCTGCTTGCCCAGGGGCCATCCCCACAACCATCGGGTAGAAAACCCCTTTCCCCATCAATGGGCATTTATATAACTACATTTCATTCTGATGGACTCAAAGGCAACCGCACACAGGGGTCCTGCCTGCACAGCACAGATGCAAAGTCTTCCCCAGTCCCTCTGCTACACAAAACTGTGGACATCAATCACTGTTCCCAACGGGATGAGAGGGAACATTGATTAACTGGTGCAGCAGTGTTTGCTTTAGCTTTTTACAGCATGTCGTAGAGACTCATTTAAAGATTAACAGATTTTAAAGGCAGAAAAATCCCTTCTCTAGGCCCCTTCCAAGGGCAGAAAGGCTTCCACCCCAGAAAGCTAATCCAGACAAAAAATTAGGGTAGATTTTATCTGGTATCTGATTTTATATGAATTGCAGGTCATTTTAAAAAGGGTTTATTTCTGAGAACCAGCTGTCTCCCAAAAATTCAATTTGCCCTGTAGTTGACCCTGATGTAAGTCAGCACAGCCTTTTGGCTACTGTATTTTACAACAGCTGACTACAGCCACTCAGGGGTCCCAAACCAGACAAGGGTCATCACAGGCAAGCAGACATGTTTTCCAGCAGCATGATATTCTCCTACATCAAATCAGGAAGAAGTCACCAAAGGGACCAATTCATGCCAAAATTTCCCATCTGCCAAGGAAGTTTCAGCTGTGTTCAAGATGGCCCTTTGCAAACAGAGTCAAAACAATATGCAAAATCTGACCCGCAGTCTTGATACTGCCTCTCAGCATCTCTTTAAAGAGCACACCAGGAACACAGCAAACTGTTACACAGATAACACTTATGTGAAATTTCATGCTTTTGTGGAGAAGAGAAGAATTTTCTTAGTTTTGTTTATGTTAAACCACCAAACATCACAGGAACTGGCAGCAGAAGTTCCTAAGGGCCTGTCTCCAAGGAAACTCAACCTAAAATAACTAAAAATCACACCTTATTTATTTTGATGCAGACTTGCCAAAGGTCACTCTTACTCAAGAACTGAGGTGTGGTTTATTTCAACATCAGTCACATTTAACATAAACTGCTCTTGTGTGCAGTGACAGCAGCAACCCAATGGCTGATTGTGCTTTTGTTCTCAGAGAGGAGCAGACTGCCTCAATCCCACCACCAAAGAAAAGACTAACCAGTTTCCAGACTGCTAACAGCTAAGAGCCTGAGACCAGTCCTGCAGAAGTCACTTCAGCCCAGCAGGCCAGTGGTTTCTAATACATGACTCACTGAATCACAGAAAGTGATTTAAGAAGCCTGAGTCGACACGTGTTACAGAGCAGCACACAGGTGCAAAGATCATAGAATCATAGAATAGTTTAGGTTGGAAAGAACCTTGAAGATCATCGAGTTCCAACCCCCCTGCCATAGGTTGCCCAAGACCATGTCCAGCCTGGCCTTGAACACCTCCAGGGATGGGGCCTCAGATCCCAATGTCTGCAACTCCACTGGAAAGATTTAAGGCATCTGTAAATTGAAAAGCTGCAGTTAAGCTGACTGAATCACAAATATAAGAGGACTCCCTAGCTTAAATGCACACTTGCATCAAATACTGAGCTTTGCTTCTGATCAATCACAACCTCCACAACAAATGGCAAGACTGACCCATTTGCTGGGAGGGGATGCAGAGGTCCAAGAGGGAAACAACAAAAAATTTTCCAATACAGTGTTAAAAAAAACCTGAAGTGCCTATACCCAGATGTCAGCAGCAGAAAATAACCAGTACACCCTCACAATTAACCTGTTTCACTCACGGAAACGCAGTTGCAATGGGGTGAGCAGAACTCCTGAGCTATGGCAAGGATCACTGAGAATCGCTTTTTTTTTATGCAGAGGAGGATGGAGAAAATATTGTTAAAATTTACATGAAGATTCCTGCTACTCTTAACAAAACAGAAGCAACAAAAATCAAAATATCTTTCAGAGCGGAGTTTGAAATCTTCCGGGTATTTGGAAAGGATCTCGGAGACTCTGCTTGGATACAAAAAAAAAAAAAATCAAAACAGAGCTGGAGCACTTCAGATGAGATCGAGAAAGGGAAAAGAAGGCAGGGAAGAGAGGTGTCCTCCTGAGCACTAGTGAACTGCAGGCAAGAAATAAGACTACACTCCGAGAGGCTGGGAATGAAGGAATAACACAGCGTCCTCACCATGTCCCGACACTGGACTTGTTATCAAATGAAAACAACTCTTGGGAAACACAATGTCTGCTTTTCTGATTAACAACATTTACACTTCTCTGAAGGGAAAACATGGACGCTGATTTATTACTACACGCAGCTCATCCAAGGCTTGCATTTCCAGCCATTCAAATCAGTTCCTAATATAAGGCTGTCCTGGTTCCCCATCATAGTATCTACAACGCGTTATGTTTTAAATACCTAGCAGATAAAATGTACATGCGGCACACATCTGAAGACAGAGGTATTTTATAGTTTTTCTTTCTACCAAGGTCATATTAAACAGTCCAAATCACAGGTAGGAATGGCACTTCTGGGTCTGCTAGTCCCACGCTGGTACCATTACCTTGGATCATCACTCTCCAATCAGACACGCAACCAGGCAGCTCACTTGCGATTCTCAAAACTGCACACATCAAATCAGCAACAAAGCTGCTGCTTAGCATGGGAGCAGCAAAAGTAGCTTCAGAAGCGTGCAGGAGTCTCCACTGAAGTAATTATCACTCTGGCTACGTGTGCTGCAGGTACCCTACAGCTTTGGTTTTGGTGAAGGGTCTGAAATATAGAATAGGGCACTCAGGCTGAAATCATGAGCTGCAGAGACGCCAAGCAAAATACACCAGGAAACAAGACCTGCTCAGGAAGGCAGGAGGAGAAATACAGGCA